GTTGTCTTTTGAGTTCTCTAGAAAATTGTTTGTATGTTATTTTCAATTAAAAAAAAAAAAAACTTTTCACATATATTTTTGGCCTTTAATCCAGTATAAATATCAACAAATGCTTAGATCATCAGCACATCTTTGAGGGAGAATCGGGAACTTAGAAGCTAGATCAAAGATGGCATAGGCAATGAGAAATCATGTATATCCATGCACCCGGGAAAAGAAGCAATGCGCGACTGCCGAGGTGGCGTTGCCGGCGTCTCGCCAGTCCTCCGAGTTGCGCTGCCCGACCATGGAAACCTTCAACTTCAGCAGCACGTCAAGATCATAAGGGTAGGCATCTAGAATGGACGTGGATAACAGGAAGAAGAGGAGTGAGAAGTCCGGAGATGGAGAGAAAGAAGAAGAATGCATCTTGAACAGAAAGACTAAAAAGGCAAAGGGAACCAAAGTTTATGAAAGGTATTTTCTCATTAAGCTATCAAGGAAGCTGTACAGAATTTATATATTTACAGAGAGAAAGGAGAGCGGGAAGAAATTAAAAAGAAGAGATACACAAAGAACTGTAAGTAACAGAATTAGTTGAGAGTGGTTGGATGTGGTTGAGCTTAATGTTTTGCTGTCACTCTCATCTCCTGAAATGCTTAGCTATGAACCGGAAACCAAGAATATATATTAATTGGAGAAATGGGAGATTTGCAGAAATAGAATAGGTGATAGGGTGGCTAATTTAGTGAAGCGCCCATATACTCTAGCTAAACTCTCTGAGGAATCACTGGAGTGGTAGGCCGAATGAGGGCGTGAAAGGTGATGATTTGAATTTCAGAGAATGCCATACTTAAAAGTACTTCGTAGAAGTTTTTGAAGGGTTGAGACGCTACTCTTCGGCATATTTCGTGTTGCCGCACTCGGTATGTAACTGAGGAAGTTGAACTAGAGGGCGGTATTATATAACTGGTAACAGAGAAATCAATACGATGCCTCTTGGTGCTGATAGGAGAATTTGCCCATCCTGGCTTGCTGTGGCTCTTTGTGGCTAATCTGTAATCTGATTAAACTATTATGATCATACGCAAATACCATTATATTTAGTCTTAAAGGCTTAATTAGTTTTATTACTTTACTCGGGAGCAGATTTTATCTTTTGTCTCTTATATTTACAATAAACATGTAACTCCATGCAAGAGTATTAAGAGATGGAATCAATGACGGCTGGTATGTTAATTTAGTTTCTCAACTTAAGCTTCTGTTTGAATTATGTTCTAGGCAAATGTTGTAATATAATCAAATAATTTTAATTCACAAGAAAATGAATTTTTAAAGGTATGCATTTTCATTTTAAATTTGGTTTATAAAATTAAATTTTGATATGACTCAAGAAAATATAGTTTTACAGAATATACTGTATAATATTTTAATTATTTTAAAGAATTATGAATCATAATTTAAATTATGTTATAATTCGTGCATCACACAAGATTAAAAACATAATGCTTTATTAAAAATTGTAATTTATATTTTAAAAAATAACATAAAATCAAATATTAGGTTTTGTTAGTAATTGGCTAGCGTAGTGTACCATGAAGTGTTTAATAATGTGTAATATTGAATACAAAGTTATTTCTTTTGTCCTAAACATAATATTGAATACAAAGTTATGTTTATTAAAATATTTTTGAAATTTATGTAATGATTTAATGTACTAAAATTTCTTGTGTCCTAAACAACTACAATTAATGTTTATAATGATTAATTTACTATAGTATTATAACAATATTTATAATATATATTCGTGCATCGCACGAGACAATACTAGTTGTCATATATAAATACGGACATTAATTTGTGTACTCTATGCATAGTATTTATTATTTAATGCACTAAGCCACTAATGTTATATTATTTATAGGCTTAAATCTATTAAATAGTCTAAACTATACTTTGCTATTATACCGTACATCAAGATTGTCTACTACTATATTATTTGATTCTATGCAATAATTTTTTACTTTCTTTCGCCGACAAATATTTACAACTTAAATTTTTGAATTGATAAAAAAAATAATGGGAGTATGATGGGGCAATATCCCACTAAAAAATGGTCAAGTCAAAACTTTGAAATTTGAATAGGGAATTTACAACTAGGAAGGTAGGAAAAAAGTGCAAGTGTGCAGCTGACAAGAGGAGTGTCATTTTATATTATTATATACAGAGGGAGTCTCTTATTTGCACGGGCTTATCTCACTAATTCAGTATAAAAATTTTTTTAAAAAAATTAAAATACAAACTTCAACAATAGCAGTGTGAAAATTATGCTCAAAGTGAATACATCATCTTAAATGCTATGCCGGCCTCCTTAGCCACACCAAATACATATTTCTATACATATACCAACGTGACATAGAATTAGTAAAAAAAAAAAAAAGTGTTAAATTTTCATTGTATTTTTTTTTGTGGGGTTAAAATTTATGTGCCTCATCCTTCATGATTTATTTATAATTATTTTACATTTTCCTATAAAGCTATAAATTAAACATCCATTCCCAATAGAATTAACACCGAAATCACATATTCAAATTGTATAACAAAATAAAATAAAAAGAAGATTTTTTTTGAATTCTACTCGCTCTATTACATTGTAGTATCTGTTCATATACTTTCTCAACCTACTGAAACACAAAGAGTCAATAACGCTTCCACTGAAGCTCGAACTCACAATCTTCCAAATGAAAGTCCAACTCAGATACCATTAGACCACATAGTCCTGGTAAAATAAAAAGAAGATAAAACATCATATCATCAAAATAGCAAAGACGTATTTCACTATAGAATAGAAGAAACCGTATGTATGAACAAATAATGTACTAATAAAAAATGTAGTGTTGAGTGTTGACAAGGAAATCCAAATTTAAAAAAATAGATAAATGAGTACTAATATTTTATTAACCTGCAGGACGAAATCATAAAGAGTTCTACTACATGTATACATAAACTTCTCTGATGTGATAGATTCTGATAAGTTATTTTTTTTTATGTGGATCTCAATACAAATATTTACATTAAAATTTTGTGTGTCAAAATACAAATTATGAGTATAAAATGAGATTACACATAGCATTTTTCAATTGAAAAGAGTGTACTGTGGTCCTGTCATGCCCATATGCCATATGGCATATGCCAGCCATGAACCAAACTCAAAACTCATCAAAAAGCAAAAGCTGGGATTAATTAAGCTCTTCAGATCCAAGAAAGTAATCATGCCCCCCATTCTTTCCCACCATGCCACAACCCATTTCAGATTTATTTTTCAAAATCATCTACAATTTTACAACCTCATACACACACACACACACACATACACAGATAACTAAATGTATTGTCAATTATTTGTAAATGTATAATCAATTGTTTTCAAATGCACCACTATAATTACATAAATGTCACCATATTTGATATTTTTCCTTAATTTTAAGGTTTTGATCATTTTAAATGATTTAGTTTGCATGTTCTCATGCTACTATTAGTTCTCACATTTTTCAACAATGGTGTTGGTCATTTTATACGTGGTGCAACCCAAAAATGAATTAAGAAGATTTTAAGTTTATACTGATATAATAACTTAAAACATTTTTTCACAAATTATTGATTTATCGATTGGTGTGTGCGTGCAAGTTCGAGTGTTTAATTGAATTTTTGTAAAGTTCAATGGCCAAATTGAATTTTTAAGTAAAGTTCAATGATCTATTTGACAATTTTCCCTTTAAATTTTACAAAACTGACAAAAAATATTAGTGTTTGCAAGGCTTGCAAATTAAAGAAGTGAAAGAAAAAAAAATATAATTAATGAAACATAGTTACATACATACCATGTAGTCCTGTACTATTAACATTGGTATTAATAATACTCAATGCAACATGCATACCATACATAATTATACTATGTACTATCATTAGTATGCTAGAAGTTTCTATATATGTATATCAGTATATGGTTCTACAGTTTACAATCTCATTTTACCTGCCTTTTTGTATTTGTAACCTAACTTTGATTAAATTTGTAAATTTATATTTTTGAGATTCTAATATAATTTTAGTTATAGTCATGGAATGGCTAGTTGTATTTCGTTTAAGGCTTTGTTCGAAATGTAAAGATTAAAAGTTTGTTGAAAGTTAAAATGTATGTGAAAGCTAAAAAAAAAATAAAATAATAGTTACTAGTTGAAAGTTAAAAGTTGTTAACCTAGTTAATTGAAGGTATAATTGTTTGGAGAAATTAGCCGTTAAGAAAATTTTTCAGTGTTAAAAGACAAAAGTTATGTTTTATAGTGATTGAGAATATACTCAAATTATAGCTTCTTTTAAGCTGAAAAATTTTACCAAATAAAATTTATATATTATTTATAATTTAAAATAAATTATAAACTCTAAAAGTAAACTATTTCCAACAATGCTTAAAAATATCAAAAATTTATTTACTTGGGAAAATGATGGAGTGGACATTATTATCTTCACTCATGTAAGTTTTTATTTTTAATCACATGAAACTATTTAATTTATTCCATAAAATTTATATAAAAATAGCTTTATTTTTACCCATATATGAATTGCTTAAGCAGTCACCAATTCATCGTATATTGTAACAAAAATCTATCATTTATATTCATTTTAGTCATTTACGACTTCATCATAATCAATTAAGTTAGAGATTATTATTATAGAAAAATTAATATGTGTGTAATTAAAAAAAAAAAAAAGTAATTCATTGTAATCAAGACAGAAACTTTACAAACTTTTTACCATGGAGAACAATAAAATAAAGAATGAAATAACACAATACACTTTATATGTTAGATTCAAAGTTAATTCTTTGTGATTAAGTTTTGTAATTTATGAAAAGTGAATTGCATAAGATGGCCCAGAATCCCAGATTCCCTAGTCCAGGTAAACAAAGCTGTCTGATAAGAAGAGAATTAATTACTATACTAATAAATGCACCACATTCTATCAAGGAATGCATCAGTTTTTGTGTGTCAGCTGTCTTTAATCTAATGGATCACAAACATTCTTGGTGTGAAATGGACTCGATCAAGCTATAGCCCTTCTGAAGATACACAGCATAGAGTGGCAAAAAGGAAAGGGACTGGGTGAAAAAGAAAGAAAAGGGTCCAACTTTTTCTTTTTTTCATTTTCTTTCCTTCCTCACCTCTCTCTCTTTCATTGATTCCCTCTTCAATCTGAAGTCATTTACACAATTCAACACTCAAAGCATTGAACCAGAACATAGAAATACCCATAGCTTTAACCCTTTGCAGAGGTGAAGAATTTTTCTTCATACTGAGCTGCTATTCTGCTTTGGCTTGAAAGTCTTTTTTTGTTTGTTTGTTTGATGGTGAGATAGTTTGTCTGTTCAGTTTGAGATTTTTCAGGTACTGCCTGATCATCTATCATGTCATTCAATTAATTTCTTGGTGTTTTTGCCTGTTTTCTTGTTTGACTTGATCTAACATAGACTGGGTTGTTTCTTGATTTGTACCCCCACCCCCTTTTTTCAGATTTTTGAGAAGTAAAGTTGCGATAAAGCTAGAAAGGGGGGATAAGAAGAAGAAGAAGAAATGGGTGTTCAACTGCAAGATATTGGAGTTCAAATGAGGAAAGTTTTGATCTTTTCAACTAGGGCATGTTATAAATTTGTTTGCAATCATCCAATCCTAGTGGGTTTGCTTTGTTTTTTGGCATTACTGTACAGATCATTTCCTTTTGTGTTTTCTGTATTGTTGTCTCTATCTCCTGTTCTTGTATGCACTGCTGTTCTCCTTGGCACTTTATTAAGTTTTGGCCAACCAAACATACCTGAGATTGAAAGGGAAGAGAAAACAGTTCATGATATAGTAGTGCCTCTGAAAACTGGGGTTTTGCTAGATGCTACTGTGGTTGAGAAGGATGATGAGAGCTATTCTGTGGATAGATACACCACCAAAGAGACGGATACGGTGGATCAGTTGATTGAGGAGCTGGGTTTGGGTGTTAATAAACTTTGCGAGGTTGAAAGGGGTGATAGTTTTGGTGATGATGCACCACTTCTTGGAAACAAATCTCGGGAAATTGAATTGGAGAGTAGGATGTTTTTGGAAGGAGGAAGAGAGTTGTACGATTTGGGATCTGAGCAGAAGAATGAAAAGATTGAGGAGAGGCTTGATGATGGGGAAACTTTAGATCATCAGTACTCTCCACTTCCTAATGTGGATGATGAGAATCTTGAATTTGATAATGCAAAATCTGTTGATTCCTTTGACTCTAGGACGGTGAATATTGGTTCTCCTGTTATAGATAGGGAGATTTTAGATCGCCAGTACTCTCCAATTCTTAACTTGGATGATGAAAATCTTGAATTTGATAATGATAAGTCTGTGGATTCCTTCGACTCTAAAATGGTGAATGTTGATTCTCCTCCTGGTTCGCCATTGAAACAAGAGGAGGAGGAGGAGGAGGAAGAAGATGATGATGAGAGTTTGGATTCAGGTTCAGATAGAGCAGAGAGCTCCTCCCCAGATGCTTCAATGGCTGACATTATCCCGATGCTTGATGAGCTTCACCCTCTTTTAGATGAAGACACTCCACAACCGATTAATCTGTTGCATGATGGTTCTGATGCTGCTTCAGAGCGTTCAAAATCTTGTGAAAGTGATCAGGAGTCTGATGATGGGACTGAAAACCAAGAAGTAGAAGCTGCAGGTGATGAGAAAGAAACAACTAAAGACAAACAAGAACGAACAGAATCTGCAATTAAATGGACAGAGGAGGACCAGAAGAATCTCATGGACCTGGGAAGCTCGGAGCTTGAAAGGAACCAACGGTTGGAAAGCCTCATTGCCAGGAGAAGAGCTCGGAAGAGCATGAGGACAATGGTTGAAAGGAATTTGATTGATTTAGAAAGTTTCGATCTTCCATTCAATATTGCTCCCATTTCAACTGCACGGAATAATCCTTTTGATCTTCCTGGTGATCTTCCTGGACTGCCACCAATTCCTGGCTCTGCTCCATCCATTTTACAACCTAGGAGAAACCCTTTCGATCTTCCTTATGACTCAAGTGAAGAGAAGCCCGATCTTAAGGAAGACAGTTTCCAACAAGAGTTCAAGACGTTTCCCAAAGAGTCATTCTTCAGACGCCATGAAAGTTTTAATGTACGCCCATCATTATTTGGTCCAAGTCGGCATGAGAAAAAGGATATCCTCTTGAGACCTTATTTTGTTCCAGAAGAAATGGATTCAGAAGGATCAAGCTACTCACGGTTTCAAAGACAATCAAGTGAACTTAGTGACTCAAGAGTAAGTTCTATTCCTGAAACTGAGTCAGTGGCCTCGGCTATTGATCTGGAAGACAAGAGCCTCATTAAAGAAGAAACAGAAGACAAGAACCTTAGTGATGAAGATCTGGTGAACAAAGACCTAATTTACAAGCATAGCTCCGAGGATCAAGCTCTGATATCTGGGGAGGAGGAGCATACTTCCAGGGATGTCGGACATGGAAGCCAATCTTCTGAGGTGAAATGGGAGAGTGAGGAAAATCATCACAGAGTGGAACCAAGTTTGATGCAGGAAGGATATGTTGCCAAAGCTTTGGATCTCACTGTAACAGAAATTCATTCAAAACCAGAATCTTTAGAACGGCATAGTAGTCACTCAAGCTCCTCATCGCTTTCAGAAGAAGGTGAAAAGATATTTGATGAGAGTGAAACCCATTGGCTATCGGGTTTGGGAGAAAGAAGGGATCATTCTGAAAGTGTTATTTCAAGAGAGGCTTCATTAGGAGGGGCAGATTTTGATATCAGAGGCACTTCTGTAGATGAGAATCAATACTGGGAGCCTGTTTATGATTTAAGTCCCACTCCACTCAAAGAAATTTCTTCATCCTCAGTTGCTCCAGATGTGCATGTGGAGTCTGATATGGGTTTATCATCAGTATTAGTCGATAGAACCCTTTCTCCTCCTGAAATGGAAGCTGTGGAGAGTGGCCAGGAAATCGAAAACTCACAACCAGGAGAAGAAGATGAATTGATATCAGAGGATGCTATGCTTTTAAAGAATACTGAAGTTTCAAATTTGGAGTCATCTGAAAACTGTGAAGTCTCGTTTTCTGGTGTTCCAGTAGTGACCGAAGGTGTTGTCAGAGAGGATTCCCTGGACTCAAAAGCATCTGTTAACACTTCTGCTGATCAAAATATTCTAGATCAAGGTATAGATCTGTTTGAAAACGAAGAACATTCTTCAACTGCCGTTCAGGTTTCACTTGTTCAACCTTATACAAATTTTGAGAATCCATTGCTGGGGGATAATCAAATTGACATGGAAGTAGCGGGTATTCATCTGGAGCACAATGGCGTTCACTTATCAAATCTTGATCCTCTTAGTGAGGGGCCAATTTCTCCACAATATCAATGTAGCTCTACAGAAAAATCATTTTCTCAATCTGACAAAGAGTTGCCGCCATTGGATTGCAAAGACCACTCAGAAATGCAGGTTAGTGAAATTGTAACGGACATTTATTATTTTCTTGTGCCTGTTCCCAAAGAATTTCTTTGCCTTTTCAGTACGTTTTATTTAATCCATTTGTTAGAATAATCAACTCGGTTAATCTAGATATTACAATTTTTTTCTTGTACCAATCATCATATGAAGAAGTGGGAACTTTAAGATTGATAGTCTTGATAAACTAAATATGTTGAGGCAACTCCATTTAGAACCTTATATACTATTAGGAACATAGTTATCAAGGCGGACTTTCACAGTTGGAACACAAATACTGTAACCATTTACGAATAAAAAATTATAAGACCATAGAGCACAACTTAACATATTAAAAAAAATCACATCTTTTGTTGTTGGTCACAGAAATACTAGTTATCTTATCTTCTGATAAAAGCAGGAGCCACCACTTATCGTGATGGAATCAGTTGAAGAGGCAAGCAGCATGGGCCAATTAAATGTCTTAGGATTCAGAGGTCTCGACTGTGAGGCTCAACCAATCACTGCCGCTCCCTCATCTCCTCCATTTGCTTCGATACTCCACAAGGTTGATGAAGTGCAAAATGAGAACCATATTGATGCCTCGAAAAGCCACCAGTTTTTCACGGAAGCAATTGAGTTTCGTGAAAATGTGCAATATATAGTTGAAGACACGGATGGCATCGAGGAAATTGATGAAGGGATACTATCTGAATTAGATGCAGTTGGCGACTTCAGCATCAACGAATCAATTTCGAGCTTGAATGAGTTTGACAGTGGCATCGATTCCAGTGGAGTAAGTGTTCCTGTTGTACATAATGGTGGCTCTTTTGATCCATTGTTTCTTGAAGAGGACTCCATATATGTTCATGGAAAGATATTTGCCGAGCAGTCTGAGAACCTAAATGCATCTATGGATGAACAGGTATACAAAAATGAAGAGAAAACTCCTGGCATAAGCCTTAAGGAAGATGTTGATTCATCTAGCACTGGATTTGCCGAAAGAGAATTCCAGGAATCATGGGATCGTGAATCAGCAAAAGAAGAGCCATTGCTGACGGGCAATGATTGGGAACCTCACAGGGTCAATCTTGATTCAAATACCGAGGAAACCAACCCTGGAATGCCTCTAGTTGAAGCTCAATCGCTGGAAGATTTAGAATCTATTTATGAGCAAGCCATATTAGAATCCGTGGAACCTCAAGAAGTTCAGTTGCTTCAAAATTCAAACACAGAAGATATCAGCCCAGGATTGCCTTTAGTTGAAGCAAGTTCGGTGAAAGATTTAGAAGCTATTTATGAGCAAGCCAAATTGAGCTCCATGGAAACCAAGGTGGGGCTTGGACCGTCCGAGTTGAATCAAAATTCAAATACTGAAGATGCTGACCCTGGAATGCCTTTAGTTGAAGCAAACTCATTGAAAGATTTAGAATCTATTTATGAGCAAGCCATATTGGACTCCATGGAGACCAATTTGGTTCTTGAGCTGTCCGAGTTGAATCAAAATTCAAATGCTGAAGATTCTGACCCTGAAATGCCTTTGCTTGAAGCAAGCTCGGTGAGAGATTTAGAATCTATTTACGAGCAAGCCAAATCGAACTCCTTGGAGACCGAGGTGGTGCCTGGGCTGTCTGAGTTACCTCAAGAAGTTCGGTTGGAAGAAGCGGATACAGATTCTGGAATGCCAGTAGTTGTAGCACAAAGCATTGAAGATCTTGACTCTGCTTTCCGGCAAATAGACAGTAAAGAAAGTGAGAAACACGATCTTCTTGATCCTTCTCATACTGATTCTGGAATGCCATTACCTGAAGTGCAGAGTATTCAAGATACTGGCTCAGGATTTGATCAAATAGGGGCCTCTGGCGAATCTGAGAATTCTAAGAATGTGAAACTGCAAGAACATTCAAGTTTGATAGAGAACGAGATCAAATTCGAAGCTAGATCCACTGAAGATACTAATTCAGATCATTTTCAACTCCATGAAAGCGATGCTGAGAGACACATTCTTCGCGATTCTCTTGTTGGGGATGCAGATGCACTCGAGTCATTGCACGTGGGAGCCCCCTCCCATGACTCGGCCTTAAAGCAAGAAACAGAAGAGAAACCAATGAAGTCTTCGAGTTCGAGTTCTCAAGATGCATTAGTTGAAGCCACACATAACGTTGAAGTAGGGGACTCATCCAAGGGTACATCAAGTGTTAAAGATCATGATTTACCAGAAGATGGCAATGGCGGTACTAAAAAGCTGAACTTTGAAGTCGATAAGTCTGAAGATTCGGACTTTACAACATCTGCTGAAAAGGGTGATCAAGAAACTCCTGAAGGTGATAGTTCAAGTGCAATGGATGTCAAAGCCAAGAAAGAGGAGTCCCCAGGTGACTCTCATAAGGAATGAGAAATGGTAATGAATCTTTCTGGGTAAATGGAAGAGTGAAGTTTGATTTTTTTTTATTTTTTTTTTTTCATTTTATATAGGCTAGTCTCTTAATTTGTTGATTTTTTGTGTTCTGTTCAATGGTGCTTGGGGTAGTTTGGCTGTTTTGGAGTGAGTTCTTCCAAGATCCAATTTCCATTTGATTTTTTTTTTTTAATTATTTGTATGGCGATTTTTGAGAGGAAAGTTGATTTGATTTGGTGCTGTATACAGTATACTGTTAATTTTAATGTAAAGTGAGTGTTTGAGTATTGAAAATTTTGTTTTGTTTTGTTTTTGTTTTTGTTTTTGTTTTTGTTTTTTTTTTTGTTTTGAATAATATTACAAAACAATTGAGCAATATTTCAAAGAAAAATACAATTGGTGGTCAATTTGCACACCCTTGAATAGTGACTGAGTTTTTCTTGTTACTCACAAAAAAAAAAAAAAAATTATTACAACTTACAAGCATCTTAGCATCTTCAACTTTTGTGATTTTTGAAGAGTTTTTATAGGTGTGATTATGAAAAAGAAAATGTGAGAAAAGAGGAAAAAAAAAAAGAATTTGACAACCAAAAAAATAAAAAATAAAAAATGTTTACCAGCAGTCGCGCAAGATGTTTGTCCACACATGCGAGTATTGCTCAGCTTTTTCTTCACGCGGGCTCCACATTTTTAGACCAAAAACTTCTCATTCTTCTCTTTTTTCCACATCATCTTTGTTTTTTCAAAAATTTCATTAAAAATCACTGATAGAAATGCTCTTAGAGCCTAACAGTCAACAGACAAATCTTCATTTAACTTTAACAAATGCTCTTAGGACCTTTGAATAATGGCATCTAATCTTCAGGAACAGTGGCCTAAGTCTATTCACCAAAGAGTCTTTATTTTTATTGAGCAGTTTGTATCATAGCTTGCCAGTCCCATTAACTCTGAACCTTCCAGCTGATGATTATTGTCAAATCTCAAAGCTACATATTGACCCCCCCCCCCCCCCCCCCCCAAAAAAAAAAAAAAAAAAAGCAGTAAATGTCACATGCATATAACTTTAGACGTTATCAAAAGTTAGACAGTAAAAATGGACACATTATTAGACCCACCAGGAATGTTGGGGTACTTTTACGAGTTCTATAAATCTTGCACAGTCATCTTGGTACTTTTATGACTTGCATAAATCACTAAGGATGTGTTTGGTTGGTGGGTTTTGTACATAGGAATGGGTATGAAAGTGATTGTTGTTGTTTGGTTGATAGGTTTTTAGAACACTACTATGAGTTTCGAATACCCCATCAATTGAAAAATTCATACCCAAATAAAATAAGGATTTCATTCCCTTATTTATTCTCAAGCACTATTATTAGTAATCATTCACATTCCACCCTACTACCAAACATGTTAAATACTTTCACCAAAACCCATTACCATTATCAAGTATTTGATACCCATTCCGATTCCGATTCCTATGTGCGAACCAAACACACCCTAAGTTATTATGCCCCTACTGCTCAGATGTGGATGGTATTAATAATAGTCATTGAGTGTTCTCACTCACTAGACTGTTCACAATCATTCAAAAAATTCAATTCTCGGCTGAATTTATCTGGCCTCCTTATATTGTCCTGTTTAATACGGAGTAACATAGTTAGTTCATCAATTTATTTTGGTATTGATTAAATAGTTCATGTTTAATTAATTAGTTTTTTGTTTTTTTGTTTTTTTGTTTTTTTTTTTGTTTTTTTTTTACAGCTTAGTGCTCTAAAACATTGAAATGCAAAAAGCCACTCAAAGCAATTTTTCGATTAACTTTTTGAGAAAGTCATTTTACATATAATCATCCGCTAATGCTATCCACTAGTCAAGTCAGTAACGTAATCAACTAATAGCTATTTACCAAACAGCCCAAAGACTTTATGTCGTAATTCACTTAAGTTATCTAATTGTTATTGATAATTTGGAACCAAATCCTGGGTTAACTCTTTCTTTCTCTCTTAATATTACAAAGGTGTCACTCTTTCTAACTAAACTACCCCATGCATCCATATGTGATATGTATACACTGAACGTCGTTTATTTTAACACTCACTTAACACCAAAACTAATGGAAGACTATTTTAGCTTAAAATTCAATAGTCGGAAGATCACTTTAGGTACAAGTAAAAGTCAAGAAATCAATTTGAGAAAATACCATAGTTGGAAGACTATTTTGAAAATTAATTATTAACTCTTCATCAAGTATTATATTTTCATCTCAACCTATTTGTGACATGAGACTTGTCCTTCTTATAAACATAGTATTCTACCAGCATTAAAGTCCCAGACATTATCAATCAGAAAACATCTCCAACAAAACTCCACAAAAACTAAGTATTCCCTTTCCTTTAAATAAATTAGTATATCATTTAGACAAACGATTATTTGACAAGAAAATTTATTATATGACCAAAAGTAAAATAATAATAATAATAATTGAAAAATTAAAATTGATTTTAAAGTTGATGCCTAAAAATGATAAAATTATTATATTCAAGAGACTAAAAATAGCATTAACCCCATTTAATAATTATATACTCCGTATTTTTTGAGTACATACTCCGTATTTAATTAAAAGACAGCGGTGGTCGCAAATGGAGGCCGTGAGACTGAGAATTCAATAAAGGACCTCATTTCCATCCAAGGTGGGTCACATCCACATCCATCATCCATCTTTAATTTTGTGTTGAAAATGGTACAAATTATACACCTTTTTTGCCAGTTTCGTTACATTAATTAATTTAATAAAACTATTATCGTTTAAAAAAAAATTGATGTAATTTCATATGATTAGTTTATATTGAATTTGATTGTTTTACAAATATACTATAAAATATTTGTCAGAACTCCTCTGTGCTATGAGAGATGAAGGAAGTCTAATAAAAAAATAGATTTTGATCTGTATTTGAGACAAGTTATTCATTATTGTTAACGAAAATTAATGAAAATTTTAATGGAGGACCAATGGTGGCAATCAAATGAAAATCATTGATGTAATGTGACAAAATTAAAATAGTAAGATTAAATGTGACAATATCATAACAGTTGATGACTAAAAGTGGAATTTACTATTTGTTATTATATTCTAATATGATGTAAAAATGAGTTTTTTTTTTTTTTTTTTTTTTTTTTAAAGTGAAAAAGTAGTACATACTTTCTCAACCTAATGAAGCACGAGTCAAGAACGGCTGAGACTCGATCTCATGACCTTTCACATAGAAAATGTCATTACATATCATCTGAGTACAAGGTGCTTGGCAAAAGACACTCTTATATTTAAAGTCATTTAAACAATTTTATTGACGGAAGACATAATAATAACACAATAATATTAGGGACAAAGAAAAATATAAAAAACCACTAAAAGTAAATTTTTTTTTTTTGTATGAATCAATTAGTTTAAATATGTTAAAACTTTTGATTCATGTATGTAATAAAACTTAACAAGTATAAAAAAGAGAGGGGCAAAGCAGGAAAGGCGGAAGCAAAAAAATAGTGAAGTCGACGGCTAATATTACGAGCCGTGAAATTTTCCAAATGCTCTGTACCTCTCCTCTGTCCAAAATCCAAGAGGCGACACAAAACTGATCAATCTCCCACTTCCATAACCGTTTCTCTCTCTCTATCTATATTCCTCTCCTCCTCTCTCTCGCTCGACTTCCTCTTTCAGTTTTTTCGTAGAGCTAACGAGTACCAGAAATGGCGGATCAGCTCACTGACGATCAGATCTCTGAGTTCAAGGAGGCCTTCAGTCTCTTCGACAAGGACGGCGACGGTTTGCTTCTTCTCACTCGCTCTATTTTTCTTTTTCAATTTCTACGCTCTATATGTATATGTTTCTCTATGCATTTGTACGCGCAGATCTGCTTTATTTTCACCTTTCCATCTTACAAATATGCGTCGATTATTTGAATTTGTCGCGCTGGTAGTGTATGTTTTTGGAAAAATTGATTTGAGGCGCTGTATAGGATGATGGAGATAGAGCTCCGGTGGAGCTCATTTCCTTCTCCAATAATTTGTCGTTGTAATCCTATGCTCACGCTGTATTCTTACTGCCGTTACTGGATCAACGATTTTATGGAGGCTTTTGCAAGTTTATGGTTTCTGTTTTTTCATCACAAATTTTTAATTCGATTCCGGAATTTGGAATATTTTGTACACATATTCGGATAGCAGAGAAATTTCAAAGGTTTGTGAATAGTGTAAACTATTTTCTGGTATTATCCTTACTCCTTGTCTTCTCATTCCCCTATTATGCATGTACACGAGCTAATTTTGAAATTTCACATCAGGAGTTTTTTAAAAATTTCAAACTTACCAAAAAAATCTCTCAAAGCCTTCAGGATTTGCAGCTTTCTCTAAAGTTATATTGGTGAAAATATTCATATCTTAATTCTTAATCTAGTATTCTAATCTAATTTAAGAAAGAAAATCCTAATTCTAATTTAATAAAACTCTACTGCAAGAAAGAAACCTATATAGTAAGAAAGAATAGGAGCAAAGGTAAAAGCACAATTCTGATTTCCTAAATGCTTCTCAATGAATGATGCTGACACATTTCCCAATTATGTCTTTCACATTTTGGTTACAGTTAAAATAGTACTCTTTGCTTTTGAAAGTTCTTGTCTTATGTGTTTTGGAAATTTGTAGAAATGAATAATTGCCAATGCAATGACTTTGTCATATGCTCATTTTCTGACACCATTTTGGCAGAGATATACATACAGCACCAAATTCATGTCATTCACATCTTTCCCAGGAAAGTTTAGAATATACTTTTTGAATAATTTGCAGATGTTTAAGTGTGTAACAATTGTTGTTGTCTCTAAACATAATTACTCAGTGAAACTACCCAATATCATTATAAAATATGGGTTTGAAATGAGCAATGTCATTATTATTGGACTGCAGTATATCTTTTGTCTTCCTGTCATGAGCAATGTTATTATTATTGGACTGCAGTTATACTTTCTGGTTTTTTCTTTTGTCTTACTGTAATGAGTGATTTTGTGTTATTTCACTGTGCACTATATTATTTTACATTTGTGCTTAAAGCTGCGATATGGGTGGCTGTGTAGTAGGTTAAAGTCATGATATTTTATAGGTTGCATCACTACCAAGGAGCTTGGGACTGTAATGAGGTCATTAGGGCAGAATCCTACTGAAGCTGAGCTCCAGGACATGATAAATGAAGTTGATGCTGATGGCAATGGAACTATTGACTTCCCAGAGTTTTTAAATCTCATGGCCAGGAAGATGAAGGATACTGATTCCGAGGAGGAGCTGAAAGAAGCATTCAGAGTTTTTGACAAGGACCAGAACGGTTTCATCTCTGCCGCTGAGCTTCGCCACGTGATGACAAACCTTGGGGAGAAGCTGACCGATGAAGAAGTTGATGAGATGATTCGGGAGGCTGACGTTGATGGTGATGGGCAAATAAACTACGAGGAGTTCGTTAAGGTTATGATGGCCAAGTGATTCCCCATCTCCCTTAAATCTTTCTATTTTTACCACGCTGAAATCTGCAAAGAAGACCTAAAACTTGATGGACGACGGTTCAGCTAATATAGTGCACTTGGAGTCTTTCTTTTTCTGTTTTGTTTTGAATGGTTTGTGGGTTGGAGTTGGACCTTGAATCAACGTATTTCTCTACGGCAAAGGGTGGCAAGAACTTTTCATCCTCCTTTGACGATGCGTCTTCTGACTCTTGTATCTGAACTTATTTATTGTCTAAATATAATGTTCTCAATTGGAATTGATGGATGGTTTACGTTGATAGTTGTCCAAAGTGATTATGTAGGGCGCAATTTATGATCTGCAGATACATATCGTTTTCTATTACAGTTGAAAACAATGTTGTCTCAACCCATATATCACACATTTCTATAGTCAGTGAATTATTTTGCAGGGCATTGCTGAAAGCGTCCCTTGAATTGAAATGAGCCATGGAACTGGACAAATACTGGTCTAATTTTGTGTTGATTAGATAGCAACACACCGTATTTGTAGGCTTCATTTTCATTGCTTTAGCAGACACAATTAGAAAAGTTTGGTATATATCTGTATCAAAAATAATATTTGCACACAAGTTTACATCGTCACAGTCAAGATGTATAAATTGTGTGCATCTAATATAACCCACTCATTATGTACTTAATGAGAGAAAGAAAATGTGAAAATGCAATGAAGTTGATTTTCCATTCAAAGCAAATACTAAATATGAATGAAAAATATTGATATAAGGAAAAGAAAAGAAAAAAAGCATGTGCTGGCCAGACTAATTTCCGTTTGCATCAGGCCGGCCTAATTAAGAGGCAAAGTGCTGGCCAGATTGGTTTTTCTAAACAAGAAGGGGTTCAAACTCCCAACCTCTCTTAAGGGACAAGAATTGCCAACCAAGTTGGTTTTTTTTTTTTTTTTTTTTTTTTTTTTTGACATACTCATAATTTTTTACAAAGTAGTATTCGCCCCACGGGTTCAAACCTATGACTATCCATTTGGAATGTAACCGGAATGCCATCACACTACATGATAGTTGGTAGCTAAGTTGGTTAAAAAAAGGCATGTTAGATGGATGGAAGGATGTGTATTGCATTTTAGTGTAGGGGGTGATGAGTTGGGTATAGTGAGCAGTAGGGACATGCCAGCCTAACACTGTTTCCTTAGTGGAATAGATCGCACGTACCATGATTGACAAACCAAATTTTGGAACCTGAAACTTACCCACAAATTACAAAAACAAAAAACAAAAATAAAGAGATAAATCAAATGTTATTAGAATAACCGAAAGGGGTTGGCTCAAATAGGAAGGGTCTAAGGCGCTCGAGGATAGAAGCAAAGGTGTCCCACACGAACAGCTCAGTTGATTTACTTTTGATTTAATCTTTTCTACAATCTAACACCAAGAGCCAACTGAGCTGTCATTCTACGAGCATCTTTAGATTAAAATAAAGGTGCCTCACACGGGTAGCTCTTTTCTACAATCTAACACCAAGAGCCAACTGAGCTGTCATTCTACGAGCATCTTTAGATTAAAATAAAGGTGCCCCACACGGGTAGCTCAGTTGGCTCCTAAGTGTTAGATTTAGGAAAGATTAAATCAATGGTTAAGAATAATTGCTATGCTTCAGCAAAAACCCAAATAAGAATACCATAAAATTAGCACATAAAAGCGAAGTCAACTGTCTTTTGATCTTCTTTCTTGTCTCTTTTTTTACCAAAGCTATCCAACAAAAAGAAAAAAGTCACAAGCTCCATTTGAACAAATTATAATCTCTTCAAGCTTTTCTTTCTTGCATCTATTTTCTTTTTGTCAGCATGAACTCTTGCCAACCAAGCTTCCTTCCTCTGTGCACCTGTAGCCACTGCTGACCCGCTATTGATTGCAGCCTCTGCTGTGGTCCCGCTAGGCATGGCTGACTGATCCAGACCATTCCCGCCTTTCGTATTGATTAATGAAGCGGCTAGAAGCGATGGCTGTTGGGGAGGATTCCCTGATCCTGCGTTCTTCGGGTCATCAACGTATATTGAGGCGTTGGTTTGATCAACATTCAGGGCAGCAGTCGACTCAGAAATAGTCCCCGCTTTAACCTTGGGCTTTGATTTTAAAGCATGAATTCCAGTATAAAGCCTGAAAGTGAGAATCGAGAGTAGACAAGTTAGGAAATATCAGAAAACAAAGACAGACTATCGCTGTGTGGCTTTTGTTCTTCGTGGTTTGATTTATATAATTAACGTATGAAAACTAAATAGGTAGTAGAATCGTAGAAACAAAAGGCGATGAAACGATGGGGCAATACTGACCTTGCATGTTTAGCATACTCATCATAGTTATCTAGGAGCATCTTCCCGGCTTGCTCATTTAAAGCTGATTCCGGAAATGGTTCTATCAATAAGCATCTAACCACCTGTTACCCGTTATGACCAGACACATAACAGATTAGTAAAGGGGGAAAATACAAACTAAACAAAACGTCGGGGATAAAGTGCACTCCATACAAATCAATATACTTGAGGAGGAACACCAAGACTCAAAGTGGTCCCAACGTGATTGAAAATTAATAGAGAACCGAACTTACCATTAGCACATGTCTTAACCCAAGACTTGGACTCCAATCCCTTTTCAGTGCATTTACACAAATTTCACCATTGGTTGCGATATTCGGATGAAAAATTTTGGTCAGGAAATAACCTAAAGAGAAAGCAAAGAAAACAAAATGTATATGTAAAAGGTGAAGATATTTTGAAAATTTTCCAAGTTGTATACATGTAAATGTTTGCCACTCTCAATCACGTTTCTTGATGTCCAAGGAAAAGGGAAACTGTTCATATGCTCAAGTAATAACATCGCCAAGTGCATATGGTGTACATGATAGTGAAAGTGACAAGTCACACTTATCTAGAAATAAATAAATAAAATGAAAGATACACGCCAAACTATGTTTAAACTACTACGACGTAATAGAAACGAGAGCAGTTCTATAACTTTTCAATGAATTTGAGAGACAAACCTTTAGGAGGCGAATGAGGGAAATCATGGGATAATATCAACTTCATGCGGAAGATACCGTTCTCATAGGGAGTTCCGGCTGCAAAATAGGTAAAAAGTAAGAAAAAGATTTCCTAAAGAATGACACTTTTAATTGCGGGGAAAGTATACCTGGCCCTTCTATATCAGCATATATAATTGAAAAATCATCATCATTTACACCGACTTTAATGCCTTCAGGAGGAGTTTCATCAAGATTCTTCAATTCCTTTGCTAATTGTTTTATCACATTCGGCGGGAGATTCTCATTGGTTGCCTACATAAACAACCCGATAAACAGAGGCATGTTAATCAAATTAGTAATGCAATTAATGAAAGCAAAGATGAGCTAAATAGTGGAGATCTTTCATAGGCTTATCTCACTATCCGAAAATATCAAAATTAACATCTGGATACTGGTTTACCAATTAGTAATAGTATGCAATTAATTAAATATCTTCTCAAGTGCCATTTATAGAATATGTTATATGTAATTGATGAATGAAAGAAACACTATGGACATTGATATAATAGAAAAGGTCATTCCCTTAAAATATCACGAAACCTAAACTGCGAAAAAGAAAATGGAGTGCTAGAAAATTACCATTCAGATGAATAAAAATAGTCCGGGGTGCAAATGGTAATGTCTCTGCAAGGAACAAATGAGGCAGTTAGGCAAAGGCGTGCCAACCGGTAATTAGATGACAAAGACAATCAACTTTGAGGGTCGAAACTGCAGAAAATCAGAAAACACTTCTCAAAGTTGGGTCAAAAGTAGACACTTCATAGTCTAGCAAAATTTTTGACTTCGGTTGGGGTAACCCCAGCCAAGATGACTAAGGATACAAACTTGTAACCACAAGGCCACGAGTTCGAATCCCAGCCCTCTTAGTTTGAGCCAGTCAGCTATGGGCAACCTCAACTTGTTTACCTCCTTGTGATCCTTTGCCGGCTAGGTCACAAAGAGGGGTTTACCCAGTGCACACCCTCGGGTTGGCTGCGGGTTTCCCCAGTCACCCCAAAAAAAAAAAAATTGACTTCGGTTGAATTAACCATAGCAAGAACGAGATAAGCACTCAACACAGGCCAGTTCAGAAAAGATATCAGATGGCAAATAAGCAATTGGGGCATGATTGCAACACTATGTGAATGTATCTACTGGGGGTAGTAAACTTCTCCAACGACATTATTTGGAGATTATAAGTTGAAGATCGTACTTACAAGATACCCACTTAAACCTCCTATATCAAAAACAGGAAAGATACCCCAACCATTGTCAATATTAGCAATCAGGGCATAAACTAATACATAGAGATAATTGTCCAATTAATCTATCATACATCTAAGTGCACAAACCATATGCTTGACACAACATAATACAGAGAAACACCCTTGTTTCTTAATAGCAATTGCACAACTGATCATACATCAAAGTGCACATATAAGAAGCATAAACAGTTTATCATTGAAGAGGGCTCATAATCTAAATCAGACAATATGCTTGACACCAGTACTCAATCAATAAACATAAATATGAACTTGGTAACTCTTCTACTGGGATATATCATTTCCTCTAAAATGTCAATTTTGTGAAACTTGAATTCTTGTAACCTCAAAAGAATCATTTGACCCAATGTCTCTGCAAATGGAAGTAAACAAAATGAAGAGACAACCTGAAATTCTAGAAGGGAAGAGGAAACAGGAGAAAAAAGGAAAATGATGATACAGAACTCCTCTTGAAGAAGCTAATACTGGCCACTCAACACTTTGAAATTTAAAGACTAGATGCAACTGTACCTATCACAACAAAATTGGGAAAATATTCAAACAAAAACTTGAAAGACTTAAAGCTTGATAGATACTCTCAGTAGCCTTTCAACCAGAAATCATTTCAGTGTTTGAAAAGGTAAGCAAGGAATCAAAGCACAAGATAAATCCTATCCTCTCTCAAGTAAAGATCCTAGTATTCCGGCAACACAAAATCCCACAACTCTATACACCTATACTCAAAAGAATGAACTTTACATGAATAAAAAAGAACCTTTCAGATATACATCAAAAGAGAACACCAACTCATCCTCATCCTCAGACCCATTATCACAAAATCTCCACTCACATTCAGCAACAGAAGAATCAATTGACCAATAACCTCAACAAAAAATAAAAATAAAAATTAAGACCAGAAAAATGGTAACGAAAGTGAAAGTGGGCATTGATTACCAAGAGCTTACAGGCAACACAGAATTTTCAAGAATGGAAGAAAAATGCAGACCCAGACTATAAAAATCACACCTATTTGCTTCGATTATGCGTTTCTCGCTTAATCTCAGCCTAATTCTGAGAATCTGAGCACCCTAATTCCCAATAAATCACTGATTAGCGAAGAAGCAGAGACAAATACATGCACATATTTCAGTGCAGTTGTGAACACAGAGGCAAGAAAGACTTCAATTACTCTTCTTTATATGACGTAGCAATAGACTCGATCAGCAACAATGGAGATACGGGTACGCTCCCCCCCCACCCCCACCCTTACCTGAATTACAAATTTGCCCTTTCTCTTCGAGTAAACTTACAAGTCACGACCAAACAAAATTGATATTTTACTTGCAAATCACATTATTATGTTTATAGGGAGAGGATCAGTGAAAGTTGATGACAACTTGTTTGGTACACATCCTGTATTGCGCCTTATAAGGTTAGTTAATATTTCCTAATTTACAACTCATTAATCAAATCAAATTTATGGCCTTTTTAAAATTTGACTTTTAATATTTAGTAATATTTTAATGTGATTTTTAAATATACAAGTTTTAGCCTCGTATAAAAATAATTAAATTATAAATAATTTAAGTTAAATTTCATTAAATGTGTTAAAGATATAAAACTAGACAGATGTTACTCCATTGTATGTTTATATTGTAATATGAAATGTTTAAGTATAATTGATTATTAATTTAAATATTATTGTACAGTTATGTAATACATCATTAATATGATGTAATTAAAATATTGAGAGTCGTAGTAGAAATTATATATGTCTATGTATATGTATTGAATGTTGTAGAAATTTACGCAATATAAGATTTAGGTGATGTCTCAATTTGTGATTTAAGTGGAGGTTTGGGCAATCTTCTAAAGCTTTAAATGGGTGAAAGAATTTCTATTTACGATAATAAGTGACTTTAATTTAGTGGAAAAATAGAGGTGACATGTCCCACATGTCTTGAAACCTTATGATGAATATAACGGAGATGTGCAAACGAGAGTGAGATCGATAATGAAATGCAGTTATGTATATCGAGAGTAGAATATTAAGAGTTGGACAAATGAAATGTTTGGGTGATTTATGTATATTAGAGTAAATCAATTGATTAGTGTTGAGTTATTTCCTTTGCCATGCTAAAGATTTGCTAATTTTAAATTTTTTTCCTATGTTGTTTCAACAAATTTTTATCAAGAATTGGTCCACACGGGCTTAGCTCACTGGTTTAATAGGCAGTATTCGGGAGAAGAAATCAAAATTCAAACCTCGACATGGAATTATGCCCAAAGTAGGCAGATCTGCACACCGACATTTGGCTATGTCTACTGAGCCATCGAGTCACCGTGATTTACATTCTCCCAAATACTTTAAATAAATAAATATATATATATATATATATATATATATATATATATATATATATATATATATATATATATATATATATATATATATATTGTGAAGTTGTTGAGACAACCTAATTATTAGGTTGGATGATTCAACATTGATTGTGTAAATTTTGATTCGGTGAATTCCAAGAAAAATTTATATAGAGTCTATATTTTCTTAATCTTGAAAGTATTCTCTCATTCAATAGAATATATAGATTTAGAAAATCATATTTAATGCTTTAAAAAAATCATATTTAATGTATTGACTAAAATTTTTATTACTGTAAATCTGTAATAACTGCAATATAATTTTTTTTCTTTATATGTGCTCAGATTGTATTTATATAAATTGAACAATTTTTTGGAACATTCTAATATACTGCATAGTAAAAAAAATAAAATAAAATAAAATTTAGGGACAAAGAGAGTATTTATTTAATATCATGCGCCAACTACGATGACATCTTGGTTATCATTTCAAATGAGTGGTTATACAATTATTGATTAGAAAAACAAAAAAAAAAAAAAGTCCCCATGCTAAGTGTTTTAACATTTCATGTGTTGTCAAAGGCCTTGTGGTCGAGCGGTATATACTTTGAACATATATTACATTGTAATAGAGTCAATAATATTCAAAAAAAAAAAAACATTTAATGTATTAAATATTAATTTTGAATTCTCACAATTTTTTTAATTGTTTCATAATGCCAATAAATCAGTAAAAAAAAAAATTCAAAAATCTTGAAGGGGAGCAAAATTTATGATCTTGCATATAATGATTTTGTGGGAGTCTAAAGAGAGATGTTCCAACAAAGACTCGACTACTTGTATTTTATGAAATATAAATACCAATGTAGTATATATATAAAAAAAAAAATTTGATGAAATTATACAATTTTTTTATACAATTTCTTCAAAAAAATCATCGATGCAATTCAATCCTTATACCATGGACTAAGGTTCAGAGTGATTGTGTATGTGCCTTTTGTTGTGAGTTATTATGTTATGAAATTATGTACCTTATGAGTATGAAATTCTGTACATGAAACAAACTAATAATTGTGTCTTATGTTATGAATTTCTGTGTCTATAAACACAAATTATGTACCTAAATTATATTTGAAAAATAAATAAATAGCATATGTATGTGTCTTGTGTTGTTATTTTTTTGTGTACTGTGTTATGAAATGATATACTTCGTTTTAATTCAGAATTCATAATACTATGTAGACTCTAGTTCATGATATAAATTGTGGATACCATTCTACCATGTATACAATAAGTGCAATAAAAATAGTGGAGTAATAAATTGAAAGAGAGGGGTCAAATTTGCCGACATTTAAAACCCGCTGCTGCTGACCGTTGGACAATCATCTTCAAAACTGAAAACTAGCCGTTGGTTGTGTCAGGAGTGCAGTGCAGTGCCAGCTTCTTGTTTCAAACCTCACATTTCTTTGCCTCTTTACCTAACTCTTTTTGGACTCTATTTGGGAATGAATTCACTATAGAAAGAAACATGTCTCTTTTCTTTTTCTTTTTCTTTTTTTTTTTTCATTTAAATTTACTCTATTGATAATTAAACACTTTTTTATTTATTAACATTTTATAAAATGAAATCAACCTCACCTTAAGTTAAAAATAAGATGAGATGTCCTAAAGTTAAGATTAGAAGTTGTAATTATTGATTTGTCCGCAAGAAAACACAAATAGAGATGTTTTAATTATATCATTCTCTTGAATTGATATTACTCAATTTACACCAAGAAATCTTTTAATTCACATATAAGTATATAACCCAAAATGGTAAAAAAGATTGGAGAGGGTATTCTCCTAATTTGTAAGTAATAATGTGTATTCTTTAAAGAGCATCCTCTCACCCAACAAGATATGATTTGATAATGATTTGCTCACTTCTTTTAATTGTTGCTTTATTTGATAATACATCTTGCTTTAAGCCCATTACGATGCGAGCTTTGGCATCTTTTAGAAGAAAAAAGTGGGTGATTAAAACAACGGCAAATCCTTTCAAAATAAAAAAATAAAAAAATAACGGCAAATTATTCTATGGACCTGAATCTACCTTGTCAAGTTTGGCAAATTATTGTGTACCATCATGGTCTACATAGTGTTATGTGGATCATAACAAAAAGTACATTTTTAATATACTAAATGTACATTATACAATATAATGTACATTCAGTACAAAAATAATGTACATCCCATGAATACAATGTACATTATTTTTGTGCTGAATATACATTATTTTATATTATACAAAATATAATCCACACAACTTGTACGGATCATGATCACACAATAATGATTGGTTGAATTTAAAATACACAATTTATATACTAAATGTTCACAATTTACATACTAAATGTTCACAATTCAAAATGTGAACATTTAGTATGTAAATTGTGAACATTCAATATGTAAATTGTGTATTTTATATCCGAATTCACATTACAAAGTGGACCCGGGTCCATAGTATAACTGTCTTTAAACAACTGAATTGATGTTCAATAACTTATCAGATAATAATAATAATGTAGCAGAGTTGTTGGTGGTGGTTTAAAGTGGCAACTATTCCGACATAATAATATGCCATCCCCACTCCTAATTTTCTTGACTTTCCATAAGCAGACACTTTATTCATCTACTGTATTAATTATGCTCCTTGATAGTCCTTTTTCCACAAAAAATGTTTTATAATAATTGATGAGTAAAGGATCAGAGATGATCAACAATTCTGACCATGTATGTAAGAACACAGCATCTCACATGCTTAACTCAATCAACACATGGACTTGTTCCCATCATACATAAGATCGAGAATGAAAACTTACAACCTACTTACTGTATCATAAAATTGTACTCTGCATTTCTTAGGCTGCCATTAATCTGCGTCCATTTCTTCAAGCGCGGCAGCTGCTGCTGCCTTGGCTTCCTCTAAGAGTTGGTCCGGAACCTACAACACAAGAAATATGGTACCCTGTCAAATGCCCACCACTAACACTACTTATTACTTGATAAGTTGTTCCAACGCTAGAGAAATGTTTTAGGTATACCTTCTGATGCTGGCGGTTTGACTCATCGCATACCCAACTCATTTCCAATTCGAAGGCCTTGTCCTTTGCTTCATCATGTATTCCGTAGATTCTGCATATATTAAAGGTGATCTGTTAAAATATGTGAAAATCACACCAATAAGATATGTTCCAGTAAATTCTTGGTTTTGATCAAACTGTAGTGATTGCTATGAGGTTTTTGGAAGCAGAAAGTTTCATGGATGCTTCAAACAAACAAAAAAAAAAAATCGAAGTTGATACATAATAACAAAAACCTCATTTTAACTCTGTAAGAAGCATCTATTCACAGAAAAACAATGCATGTCATCCACCACATGGAATGCTTTGGGGGTGGTCAGTAGGATGCAATTGAGAGAACTTTAATATGAGTCAGATGAAGAGAATTAAAGAAGGCTAGGTCAAGCTTAATGGAAGAACAAATAAGAGTTGTTCGCTCAAAAAGAACACACACACATATTGCAGACTTCAGAAGTGAGAAGGCTGTTGTGGCTGTAACGTTTCCTCGTTTTTATAACTTATCAAAAGCCAGGAAAGAAGAGAAAAATAAATACAAGGCTTGGTTTCTACATTCTTCAAGATTCATACATATCACAACAAAAATTTTCGGTCAAAAGAACATTAACACATTATTTCTGATATGTAAAATAATGTATTTTTCTTTTCTTCTTTTAAATTTATTTATTAATAAACAGACTGCTTAATTCACTTAATGCTAGAGGTTTTAATGCTAAAATATCTGTCAGCAATCAATCCAGATTCAATACAATAGTTGGACAAAAATAAACGTTGAAATATGGAAGCATAACACTCACATTTTAGCCACCTCAATAACCCCTTGCCGACAAGTCATTTCAGCGAGCTTCAATTTCTCAATTTCACTGCCCAAATTTCATTTTAAAGTGTGTCAGCAATTTATTGAACTCAAACAAAATAATTTAGGAAGTGCTGTGGAGAGCCAGAAAAAATGAAAATACGCAGGTGTCAGTATCATGTGCATGAAAATAAACTAAAGAACTGAATGTTAAGTAATCTGACAACACAATAATAGGAATGCACGACCAACAAAGGGAAACAAAAATCCAGATTGGGGAATATAAGAAGAATGATATCTAATGAAAATTTTTACTTTAATGACATCATAGTAAATTTCTATATATTTGGATGGTCAAACTAGAAAGGAGATTTCTCTATTTATACTAAAACAAACATGGAAAGCACAAGTGCTTCCATAATTCAAACTTTAGGTTAATTAGGGCTGAGCATGCACATTTGGTACTTACGTTTTAGCAGCCTGCCTTCCCTTTCCAATAGCAGCACCAAAGTATCTCTAGGACAAATGCCACATTGTGTTAAGATGTGAAAGAACCCATCAAACAGGATGGAATCAATTGAAACTGATCAATAAACAACTTACATAGGAGACACCTGAAGGTTCAACCATGTACAGCTGCGGTCCATCTCGGTCGTAACCACCAAGAATCACCCCACAACCAAAAGGTCTAGAGCAAATAACTAAAAAAGTTTCACACTTGAAGAGCAGTGAATAGGTAAACATGTTCTTGAAGACTGCAAGAAAATATTGCTAACCTGAGCCACCAATAGAGTGTACATAAATGCACATAACTTGCAACACGTTCTGCAAGTTCTTTCACAGGAATTGGCTCGCCGTAGACACTACGAAACAGAACAATATATGAGGCGTAATTGCATAAATAGGATTACTGATGAAATGTATAATGATTTTGCACCAAGAGTTGCACCCAAGCAAGATGTGCTTACAAGTACCCAGCATAACTACTAATCAAATCCAAGCTACACCCACACATTATATCAGTGTACTTCATTTTCAAGTCCCATTCATCCCTAGTCATGTTTTTGAATTAAGTCATTAACTGTGAGACTAGAGCATAAAAAACTATTTGAGCTTTACCACCAAGAATGATATTATTATATTAACATTACTGTCATGAATGCATCATGGCACCACCTGATCCATTTAGGTCCTTACAATAATACCCCATATGAGAAGCACAGAAGAGAATTTGACAAAAAGGAGAAAAAATAACAGTCAATGTATATAATGCAACTTTCAAAGTGTCAAACTACAAAATTCTAACAAAGTCAATATCAAAAGGAAAGCAGAGAAAAAAAAAAATAAGAGAGATGTAACAAATAGGATACATGATGTGTATATGTATAAGGCCAATAGAAAGGATACCTTTCATAGCTGTTTGCTTCAGATTTAGCTCGTGCAACAATTTGCCTCCCATCAGCAGCTAATCCAGCAATAGCCTGTAAGGACAGGAGAATGAATTCCCAGTAAAAAATGAGTGAAAAACTTAGAGAGAGAAAGAGAGAGAGGATTATCCTTTATTTAACTGTACTTCCACGAGTGTTCTGTACATCTATATACACACTGAGAACACAGCCACATTCATATGAATGGAAGGGAGGGGAGTGAGCTAACAACCTCAACCTCCCTTGACTATCTCTCATCATGAGCAAGAAGGATGGATACCATGTATATGCACTCTCATTCAATTGAATAGACAAGGATGACAGAATCACAGGACATCTAAATGCAATATGCCCGAAATTTTTCTTAGAGTTACCTTCATTAATGAAAATACAGAGCCAAAAGTTGACAAAACCCAAATCCCCCCCAAACATCATCAAACACAAAAGAGAACATTAGTCTGCCCTTTCAAAAACACTCAGCCTATTTTTTGCATATGGGCGCGCACATATTCTTTTACACAAAATAGTAGTGTATCAAAGTTGAAACCAACAAAACGTCAATATAAAAATTAGAATTAACTTAATTTAAATAAATAAGCTATTCTTAATGTTAATATTATATCTATTTATATATATCTGTGTGCATCCGCGATTAATATTAATACAGAACAAAGAGCAAAAGAAGAAAAAACGGCAGTACCATGCCAGAATGGCGATGAACAGAGTGAATTCTTCTATTCGATCCGGGCAATATCATCCTCGAGGCTATCAGCTTCTCCACTCCCTACAATTAAACCCCCTCAGATAAATCATGAAATCCATAATTCAATCCCTAACTTCAATCACTAAACGATATACATTATACATATTTGTACGTTTATAAAAGAGAGAGAGAGAGAGAGAGAGGAGAAAAAGGTAGAAAGAGTGTTACCATGACAATGCCATCCTTGCACTTGATGGCGACGACAGTGCCGCTGTTGTCGACGGCCTTGGCGGCGTACTCGGTCTGGAAAACTCTGCCGTCCGGCGAGAACGTCGTCACCGAGAGATCGTAGCCGGTGCCAATGCTGCTCATCTTTCCTTGGATTCTTCAACTACTCCCCGCCGAAGATCAATTTTAACTCGCTGCTTTGAGCTCTGAACAAACACAACAATGGAGGATTACAGATTAATTGAGTTAGAGCTTTTCTTTCGACTCAAGCCTCCTGCAAGTTTATTTCCAGAGTATTATTATAATTTATAATTATAATTATAATTATAATTCCCCCAGTATGTTGGGCTGTTATGCTATTATAGGGGTTTTGTAATTTTCATCTTGGGCTTTGAACTCCTTTTATTTGGGATGGGCGATAACAATTGGTATACCATGGACCAATGTCCACCTTGTATTGTGAATCCCGTCTAATACAATATCGTTTTATTTATTTATTTATTGCTATTTACCATAAAAAAAAAAATCATATCATGTATATTATTATTAAATTAAAATGTAATATAGATAAAATTATATGTTACTGTTGTTATAATGAAATGAAACTTTTTTTTTTTTGAAAGGAGCCTGTACGGCATTTATTCGAAATATGCAGAAATAGCAGCTGGTGGACTAGAGTCCGAATACATAACAGTTGTCTGAGTAAAGGCAAAAGATGCTAAAGTATGAGCTAAATAATTCTCTAATCTAGGAACATAACGAATTAAACAATTGTCAAAAGTCAACATACTAGTCCTGCAGCTATCAATGGTGTAGCCCAAGTAAGACCACGATGATCGAGTCATTGATGATAGATATTGTTGTAGTACTAAACAATCCGTGAAGAGCTGGATAGAGTTTATACCGCGATCCCTCAACCATGACAAAACTTCTTTGCACGCTAGAGCCTCTGCCATTAGTGGTGTAAAACAATCTGACATAGGGGTGGTCATTGCGGAAATATATCCTCCTTGCGTATCTAGAATAATAGCACCTGCCGCCGCCTTGTTCGTTTGTGGGTTGTATGCCGCGTCGAAGTAGCACATGAGAGGCTCCACGTCTGAGGCGATTGGGTGTTCTACTGGCCGCATCACAGCACTGCTTTGTGGCAGTCCGTGCACTGCCGGCACAGCAGTGGCATTCACTGTCGTTGGCGGCATTATGGTTGGCATTCCACCCTGCTCCGCTACGGCCATATTGGTCTGTGGTTGTGCATGTGTGGGGTGCGCAACCTTCCAAGAGTGTACAGTTGAAGACGCCATTGCTAATACTTTCTGAGGCCTGGGTAAACATGCGTCCCAAACAGCCCCATTCCTCGCACGCCAAGTGTAGTATAGAATGGCCACTGCATAAATAATCTCATTATCATCTAAAATATTCATCAAATCATTAAACCAATCACTGAAAATATTTGTGACACTATTGGGAATTGGAAGGTGAGATTGTGCCCAAATGTTTGTTGTATAGCCACATGTGATCAAAGAATGCACATGCAATAATATATATTGTTAAATGGACGTGTAATTAAAATAATATTTCGTGTTACTATAATGAACCTAGTGCATATGAAAAATGAAACTAAGAAACATAGTCATACAATACATATATTGTCAAATGAACATGTAGTGTAATTATAATGGTACTTCAACGTTACTATAATGAAACTAAAAACACATAATCATACAATAGCATATATGGCCAAGTGAAATGAAGTGTAATTAAAATAATACTCCAGCGTTACTATAATAAACTAGTATATATGGAAAACAAACTAGAAAACATAGCTTATACAATAACATATATTCTCAAATGAAACTAAAGTATAATTAATGGCAAATTATGCTATGCGCACGTGCGCACCTTGCGCACGGCGCTAAAACGGCGTCGTTTTCACAAAACGGCGTCGTTTTCCGTGAAAACGACGCTGTTTTAACTATAAAAAAAAAAAATTGTTCGAAACGCCGTTAACAGCGTTAACGGCATATTCGTTATGAAATTATGAATATACAGTTATGACATTATGAATGTACAGTTATAGAATTATGAATGTATAGTTATGGAATTATGAACTTACAATTATGAACATAGAGCTTCGAAAATTATGAATGTTCGGTATGGAATTATGAATATACAATATGGAATTATGAATGTACAGTTATGAAATTATGAATGTACAGTTATGGAATTATGAATGTACAGTTATGAAATTATGAACATAGAACTCTGACATTATGAACTTACAATTATGAACATAGAGCTTCGAAAATTATGAATTTACAGTTATTGAATTATGAATGTACAGTTACGGAATTATGAATGTACAGTTATAGAATTATGAATGTACAGTTATGGAATTATGAATGTACAGTTATGAAATTATGAACACAAAGCTGTGAATATATGCTCCTATAACGAAGTGGTCTGAAAAAAAAAAAAAAAAAAAAAAGGAAGATAATGGTGCCTGACGGCACCGTTATCTGTGCCCATGAAGCACGCTGGGCACGAGCCCACAGCATAACTATCCATAATTAATACAATACAATATCGTTTAACTTCATGATCTACGTTGTTACATATATTGTTGGTTTACAGGTTTTTGGGTAGTCTACTGGTGATCAAACACAACCGAGAAAGGGCAATAGTTCGCCGAAAAATGATAATAAACATAGAGATTGTACTCACCAAACGCTAGTGTATATTCAGAATGCTCTCTCAATACCGTGCCTTCTCAAGTATTTTATACAAGATCGGGTGACCGTGTTAAAGGAACTAATTAACATTAATAATGGCTAATAAATGCTAGTCTAATTATTATAGACTCAATGTGCCTCATCATGGCTCTTAACTCCTCCTAATTGCTCATTTAATGCCCTATCTCAATGGACCGTTCAGACATTTCTTCTCCCCGTCACTCCTTGTCGACTCCTTGGTGTACTCAGTTTGTTCAGACTAGCTCCATCTCCCACCTAGTTCCTGTTTCCTTCACTCTCTCGATACTTCCAAACAGACTCCTTCACTCATCCAGACTCTACCAGTTGGCTCCTCTAGTCGTTTGGCTTCCAGATATATTCTTCCAACTCATCTTGCCTTGTCTGACTAATCCAACAACTCTGCCGGTTCTCAGCCTCCTTTACTCGATCGGGTGGTTCGACGGGATCCATATGGTTCCCTTCATAAGACGACTCCCGGATTGATTCTTACTTATTTATTGGTCTCACTTTCTTTTTTATTCTCAATCTCTCCTCCTTCTTGATTGGTATGGCTACTTAGTCTCACCTCATTTTTTATTGGTCTGACTACATGTAACGATTTTGCTTTGCCTTGGATCGTCTCCCGCCCTTATAATCCGTTAAACTCCACGGTGCCTACCGACTCGTCATCCCATTATTCTTATTGTCCTATCTGGTATCGTTATTCATCCGATCTTTGATGTACATATCCTATCATATATGATCCACATTAAAATTTGATTGTGTATAGCTAAGGTACATTATGTGAGTAGGTGAGGCCATTAGCCCCGAGTGATTTGGTATTACAAATCCACAATTAAATATTGAATTAATTTCACTTTTGGTCCCACGACTTTTGATGTTCTATCACTTTTGGTGCACAACTTTAAAAATGTTTAATTTTGGTGCCTAACTTTGTTATTTTTATCAGTTTTGGTCCTTTCGGCCAAATTGACAGCGAAATGTTACTGGATTTTATATTGTTAGGGGTAAATCGCCATCCCAAGGAAACATTTTCAATATCTAAACAAAATCACTGTAAAATCATATCTATAGGTGTTTGACGATGAAAATAATGGGGAAGACGGGCAGAAACCAGACAGATCTATGGGATTTATAGTTTCGACCATTGACAAACTCTTCTTTTCCTCTTAATATGATTTTTCTTTTGTTTAAATATTGAAGATCTTTCTACGGGATGACGATTTTATAAAATCCGGAAATATTTTACCGTCAATTTGGCTGGAAGGACCAAAACTGATAAAAATAACAAAGTTAGGCACCAAAATTAAAAAAATTTAAAGTTGTGCATAAAAAATGATACGAACTCAAAAGTCGTGGGACCAAAAGTGAAATTAATTCATTAAATATTAGTCGCAGACAAACGTGACAATAGTTTAAAGCTGGCCGGAAGAAATTAGTTTCAAATTAATGGTTTAAATTGGTCGCCTTATAATGTATGATTCCTTTCCATTTTTAATAATTAGTATATAAAGTAAAAATAATAGTGAATTGATACACGAGAGTGCGAGACCCTGATTGGGTTCACAGCGGAATAATTCAGGGTTCTCGTCTCGGGTTCTTCTCACATCGTAGCCGGCCGGCCGGCGATTTCCTCTCCCTCCGCCGTTCTCCTCCGTGCCACAAAGAAAGACAACATGGAGGGAAGCAGAGGGTTGAGGATGCTGGCGTCTGATTTCTTGATGTCCCTGATGTGGGTATGGTCCAGCGTGCTCATCAAGGTCTTCGTCTACGGAGTCCTGGCGTTCGGCGACCACGATTTCCACGCCGAGATCCTCAAGCATACCCTCGCCGTCGCCGTCATGTTCTTCTTCGCCTTCCTGGTCAACGTCACCAACGGCGGCGCCTACAATCCCCTCACCGTCTTGGCCTCCGCCATCTCCGGCGATTTCAAGAATTTCCTCTTCACCGTCGGCGCCAGAATCCCTACCCAGGTTGGTTTTACTCCTTTTTTTCAATCTCGTTTCTGATCAAACACTAAACTCTGTTTTAATTAAATAAAATTTATTTATATTTTCTTAAAAATCATTTTGGAATGCTAAGATTGTTGGAAGGGGAAGGGTGATGTGGATCTTGAATTATGAAATGAGGATTTCAAAAGCTAATTTAGATAGCAGATGATTTTCTGTCCTCTCATTTCCCACCCATCCAAACATAGCCTAAACAAATTTTGCCTGGATCAAGAAAACACCATAGTTAGAACCTAAAATGTATGTTTCTGCAAATCCCAGTTGACAATATGGGCTGATGATTCATGGTTGGTTGAGGTTAAGGCTGTTAGGTGTGACACAAGATGATTGATGGGTGAATTCTAAGTAGCAATTCTTGTTTTTCTAACTAAGAGGATGTAGAAAGTGGGGTATAGAGTTCTCTTAGCCACAAAAGAGGATCACTAGGTAAGAAGGGTACCACAAAATCAATGACTACAAGCTGTTCTTGCACATTAACGGTATGTGGACTGTAGTCGCCATGACCTTTGGTCTGGCTTTGATACCAAATTGAAGCATGTGAAGCATGTGTTCCACCTCAACTAATGGATATTAATGGATATATCGTTCTACATTAATTATGCTCACATCTTCACAGATACATGATTGGAGTATCTATGATTTGGGCAGCTGTCATTTCCTCTTTGTAGTCCTTCGTTAATGCTTATTGAATTGACATTTTTCCCTTCTCTCTTAATTGTTAAGGTACTTGGATCAATTACTGGTGTTAGGCTCATCCTGGACACGTTTCCTGACATAGGACGAGGACCTAAGCTGAATGTTGACATCCACCGAGGTGCCCTCACCGAAGGATGCTTGACATTCATGATCGTGATCATCTCGTTTGGGCTTTCTAGACAGATTCCCGGTAGTTTCTTCATGAAGACTTGGATCTCCAGTCTGTCAAAGCTCGCCCTCCATGTGCTTGGCTCTGATCTGACAGGGGGGTGTATGAATCCAGCATCCGTAAGTACAAAATCCTTCATTATGACTACTATGCTCGACGAAAGATGGGCTTTAACAAACGTCGTTTTTACAGGTGATGGGGTGGGCTTATGCTCGTGGGGATCACATAACCAAGGAGCACATACAAGTTTATTGGCTGGCACCAATTCAGGGTACTCTTCTGGCTGTATGGATTTTTAGGCTGATGTTCCCACCGCAAAAAGAAGATAAGGCAAAAGCCAAAGCTGAAAAGTCAGATTGAATGGAGTTTGTTACTCCAAGATGATCATTTGTGTTAGATAGTCAGTTATCCATGGCAGTTTTATGCCCAAAAAAAACACCAGTTCAGATTTAGGACGATTGTAGTTTACTCTTCCACTAAATCCATGTACGGTTGTAGTTTACTCTTCCACTAAATCCATGTATATACTAAATGTTCATAAATGGTTGTTTCTCAATCCCCGGTCTGTCCAATATTAGCAAGGTGATCCGCGCATTTGTTTTCCTCCCTCAGAGTATGTTGGAAGATGATCTCATTAAAGTAAACCGAGAGAAGCTTACAGTCTTTGAGAAAAGTTGACAATCACTCCTTCAGGTCCTTGTCCCCTTTGTACATAAAATATGAATGGTTAAATCAAAGAATATAAGTCCAGAATGGATAAGGTGGATGCTATTTCTTCAGTCAGCTTAAGCCAAATATGAAATTAAATTCACATCACCCAAAACCAACATGATAAGACCAAGTTCATATTGGCAATAGATCAGATGGAATTTGCAAAAATGGCATTTTGAATAAATTCCACTTCATCCAATATCTGTCAACACAAAATAAATCCACTAATGGGTGGTTAACACAGGAGGGTTACAAAATATTATTTTACTTCCAACTTCAACTACAACTGCACAACTGTAAACTACATTCTACGTGGTAATCCTAATTCAACTTGAAAATAATATTCACTTTCTCAATTTGAGTTGATAAACTGTTTTCAAAAAAAAATTAAAATTAAGTTGATAAACTATGGTCTAGGAATAACTTAGGATGGTATATCTCATTGTGGTTCTTCGCCAATTATGATCACAAGGCAAGCTTTACCAACATCTTCAAGTAGTGGTTATGAACTAACTTTCTTGTAAATCAATGTATCACAAGAACAAAATGGGATAAATTTTGAATTTCATTGATGAAAATAGACAATTTTTTAAATTTGAATCAAAATAAACGAAATTATTTTGTTAAATATTCTCTCTGTCTCATTTGACTTGTTTTATTTACTATTCAATTATCAACTTAACTCTTTTTTAAAACTATTTTTTATAAATAATTTCTAGTTAACCGAACTAAACACAAAATATAGGGACAATATAGTATTTATTTATATATACTTTCTCAACCCGCTAAAACATAAAAAATCAGTATCGCCTCAAACTTATGACCTCCCATTTTAGAGAGTCACTTTATGCCACTAGACCAGAAGGTCATAACCAAATGCATTTGAAAACACATTTTACAAAAGAATTTTGCCTATTTTTGTCTTTTAACTTTTAAAAGTTTTGCATTCACTACATACAGAATCTGCCTGTTTTAGAAAATGCCCCAACTATCACATACATCTAATACTTACAGGAACATATGATATGGATAAACATAATTTGAAAAAAAAAAAAGAAAAAAAAAAAGAGCAATGAATAGTAAAGGGGGAGATAAAAGTTACTGCTCTAATACAATGCTATGGAAGCAAGATGGATGAGTGTATGAAATTTGCAAAATTTTTTCTGTACATTTCACCTTCCTGCAGAGCAGATTGAGTACAAGCCATCCTAGCATGTTCCTCATTCCCTTTTGATCTTAGAAAGGGGGATCCTCAATTTCCTATAAACACTATATATAGTAGACATTGATCAGACCAGTGTTTCACTGCTGAGAATATTAAATTTGCAGAGAGGACACGTGGCGTTAATTCGCAGCCATTTGCAGATGCATCTGTGGTGGAAATGGTGGTTGCAGGGAAGGGTGCACAGCTCCGCTCCATCGCTATACGTATTCAGGCAAATACAGCACTCCTGCAGAGTTACCTCCACAAAGTGAGCGGGCCAAACAAAAAAAGAACACTTCTTGAAAAAATTTAATGAATAAGAGGAATTTAAATGACATATGATCAATTGAGGCCAACCAAGTGTTTTTTTTTTTGGTTTTGGGTGTACTCAGGAGGGTTTCCACCGTCAGACACAGTGATTAATCCCCTCGCTGAATTGTAGGCACCTCTTTTGGGTGGGTCAGCTGACCTGGAGATTTAAGGCTGCTCCATACCCAAACCCAAGGATCGATATGTCATGCTCACAATCAAGATTTGCACAAAACAATTTATAGTTTTCCCATTTTATGTATATTTCCAGTATTTGAAGGAATAGGGTTACAGGTGCTTACGGAGTCCTCTGGACTAAGAGAGAGCTTTGGCAAGGACTCCCCCTCCTCCAATGCCATGTAATCATACGGGAAATTTGACATAGTATTAGATTGCCAGTATCTATACTTGGGAAGAGTCCTGATATCATTTTCAGACGCACCCTCTCCCAGTTTCATTGCGTATGCAACTGATGCTAGAATCGGAAGGCAACAAAATACTGCGATAAAGACCATGCATGCCATTGCGATGCAAAAGATCACAAAGAACACATCAAATGCCAAAAAGACGACAGATAACCTGCAATTTGATTACGGGCTGTCAAAGTCAAGATGTAGGTTCCAGATATAAATGCTAGTCAAAATGTGTAATGACTACATGATTTATACAATACAAACGAAGTTTCTCAAATCAAATGTGACTATGTGAGTATGTTGATATTTGACACACACACACAAAGCTATGCCAGAAGAAAAGACTAATACCTATACATTCACCAATCTCCAAATGGACAAAATACGTTCAGCAAATCAGGAAGTAAGTACATTAAGAGTGGTGGAGAAAGTGAAAATTGTGACTTAAAAGGATGGACATACCAGTAAAGATGGGGAGAATCTTGCAGAAGTGCCTGGCCACCCATGAAAATCCAATAGAAACCAAAAATCCACCAGATTGACGAGATCACTGTATTAATCGACTCCAACCTCTTCATGATACTGGTTCAAAAGAGTATATCACATATAAATAAAGGGGAGACAGAAACCCCAAAAAAAAAAAAAAAAAAAAAAAAAAAAAAAAAAAAAGAATCTTCCACATCCACAAATTATTTTTCCTACCTTCTCTTCCCTATGCTGTCTTCTACCTTCCACCCCCACCCACCCACCCAATTTTCAACTGAGCCATTAACTCAAGTTCCTTGAGGAGTAGTTAAAGAAAGTCAGTATTCCCATCTCTTCTTTAACATTTAAGTGAAGTTGATCCAAACACATTACATATACTATACTTCAGATCAAATTGTCATTCAATAGCCATATATGGTGAAACTCTATAGTTTCTTGAGCAGATAATCTAGCAGGTATTCTTTTCCCAGAAATTTCAAGAAATGGTAAGTATCCATCCACTATCCAAGCAATATGAGAGATAAGTAGATAAGGAAGTGTGACTGATGCAATAAGCTTCATCCCAGTAAAATTCTCTTTAGTCTTTTGATTGTTGTAAGCATATTATACTATCCCTTCAACTCATCTGATATCATGCCTTAGTTAATGCAACAGGTTTTTGTGTAAGTCCCCTAAAATAATTAGAAAAATACCAAAATATATAATAGAAATCCCTCTCCCAGAAGAAGAGGAAGAAGAAGAAGTACTGAAATGAGCAGATTTTCCATGTTCCTTATCACCAAAAGATTCTTTCTTTTTCATTTTTCTTTAGTTACTTTGATAATTTTTGGAATTTAGCTATGTGGAGGGGGGAATTACATCTACGAAAGAGTAACAAAACCCAGAATTAATCAAAAAGACAGAAACTTTTTCACTCACAGAATTGAATCCCTAAATTAGGCAAATGGAAAGAGGGGTACCTGGCGTGAGCAAGAGCAAATAGAGAGAGCCCATGAAATTGTAGACCAAGAAGATCATCAAAGTTCCTCCTGTGATACTCAACCCACACAAAACCCACATGCAAGAGGCACTGTAGGGCATACCCTCCAATCCAGAGCCTCAGAGGTGCAGAGGGCCTCTCCCCTATGGTGGTCAAAAGCATAAAAACAGAGACCACCACGAATGCCAAGTTCCATATCACATCAAGAACCACAAAGGGCCTCGAGTACCCACAATCACCCAGCGCCAAATCATCATCACCATCATCATCAATCCCACTATCATCACCATCTACTCGATTCATAAAAATCTGATGGTAATCTGAGGAGGAAGAGGCCATTCTAGACTGGGAAATAGAAAAAAGGGTATCTTCTAAACCACCATTATCAGCATCGATTAATAAGGTGTGATGGTCCATGGGGGAAATACAAGTAAGCTGTTCTCCTCTGGTCAAACCCTTCTCTAAATATGCAAGAAAAGGAGGTTTGTTCTGGTGTGGGGGCTAACTAGCTGGCTGGGGTTTTTGGGTGAGAACTGGTGAAGGATTTGAAGAAGAAGAAGAAAGCAAACTGGGGAGGAATGTGGGAAAGAAACTATAAGTAGTATTATGTATGGTATGGTGGGAGAAGTGGGGAATGTCAATTTGTCATACATGCAAGAATCGTTCCTTCAACAATATTGACGGTCCTTTTTTTTTTTTTTAATCTACACAACAATTAGACCATTATTCTTTTATTATTTTAAAAAGTTTAGTCATTAAGGTAGGTTAGTGTTGTTGGCATTAAATTTTAGAAAAAAAAAATTATTGTCTTTTACTTCAATATTATTATAACGGGAGTAACTGAAACCAAGCGGGTTAAATAGTTAACTCTATGAGGAATTTCCTTGATCTTTTTTATTTAAATCGGTCATCAATACACAACCTAATTTAATTTATCTTTTTCAATTTGTTAACCGTTAAAATTACAAGACAGACTTTACTCATAAGTCATAGCATATTTTTAGATAGCAATTACGAATTTTCAAAAGATATACAAAATAATTTTCTTATTTTATTAACCCTTGATATAAGCATAGACCTTTTCTTATTTTTGGTAAAGATGTCAAAAATTCCCTTAAATATTATATTACTCTGTATTTGATATGATAGTTAAATCATTAATTCGACATATATATATATATATATATATATATATATATATATATATATATATATATATATATATATATACACACACACGTTTGGAGCCTTTTGGATTATATTTTATTTTAGGAATAAGGTTCAAATTGGCCACTGAACGTAGCCTGAAAATGCAATTAAGCCACTGAACAAAAAAAAATTGCAATTAAGTCACTGAACACTCTAAATCTATGCAATTTCACCTGATAGCAGGTTACCATCAATTTTAGCAGGTCATCTGCTTACGTAGCAGTTGAGTTGGCGTTTTTAATAATTTTTAAAAAAATTTTAAAAAATTTTAATAATAAATTTTTTTAAAATTTGAAAAAAAAATTAAATAAAAAAAATAAAAATAAAACAACGGGGTGGCCGCCGGAAAGTTTTTTTATATATATAATTTGTTAAAAAAAAATTATTAAAAATTATTAAAAATGTCAACTCAGCTGCCACGTAAGCAGGTAACCTGCTAAAATTGATGGTAACCTGCTATCCGGTGAAATTGCATACATTTGGAGTGTTCGGTGGCCTAATTGTACGTTTTTGGAGTGTTCAGTGGCCTGATTGCACTTTTTTTTTTTCGTTCAGTGGCCTAATTGCATTTTCAGGTTACGTTCAGTGGCCTATTTGAACCTTATTCCTTAATTTTTAGACTTAATATAAGACTAAATAGGGATAAGGATCAAATAGACCCTCCAACTACATAGCAAAGTGCAATTAGCCCCTCCAACTAAAAAAACGTTCAATTAAACCCTTCAACTTATTAAAAGTGTGCATTTATCATTTTTAACAAGTTACCAAAAGGTTACCAATTAATTTTGCTTGCTTGGCATTGACATTTCATTTAAATATTTTTAAAAACTTAAAAAATAAAAAAAAAGAAAAGTCACCGGCGACGGATAAGTCTCGACGCCGTCAGATTCATTTGAACAGAGAAAATGGCTTCTCTTCTCCGTTAGCTCTCCGTCCAAATATACCCTTCTTCTTCTTCATGTTCTTCCTCATCGTCTTCTTGTTTCTTGTCACCAACAAGGCAAGTGTATATTTGGACGGTAATTCGTGGGAGGAGCAGGCTTTTGAGGAGGATGCGGCGGGGGCGCTGGGGGTTGTGTCTGGCCGCCGCGATCTTACACGTGCAGCTTCTTCCGGCGAGAGTTCTGGTCGGCGCAAGCCCTCGGAGGTCACATGAACGTGCACAGGAGAGGTGTTCCCAACGCTAATAATCCCACCTTAATCCCTAAGTACACTCCTCCTGCCGCCGCCCGGTACCCTTCTATACAACCACAACTCGGATTCAGATCACTGGATTAGGGTTTCCAATATTGCCCCAGAACAATATAAGAACGAGGGCTCGGTGGCTAGTAGACGACGTTTTTGTTTAACCCCGAATGTGAATAATGGGGAGAAGAAGGAGTTGAAAGTGTTGTAGATTTAAGGAAGAGTGCCGCCATTGATGATGAAGCAGAAAACAACCTGAAAATCGTGGATTCCTCTAGTTGTAGGGATCATAAAACGAGGACGATGTTGTTGACGACAAGAAGGGCGACAGACGAGGATGTTTCAAGCTGCAGCAAGAGAAGGAAAATAGATGCGAATAATCCAACGTTTGGTTTGTTCCCAAAACTGGGTTCTAGTATCCTCGCCAATCCCATAGAAGAATTGGATCTAGAGCTAAGGCTGGGTAATGATCCTCCTATGGTGAAATAAGGAACCAAAATGGATGGTTTATTGGAACGCTTAATTTCCTGTCTCATTACTCACCTCATCATCAATTCATCAGTATGTTTTCTACTTTTCTTCCTCTTTTTCTTTCTGCTTTGTTGATCAGAAGGCTGAAAAGATTGTAGGTTTGGAAATTTGCAGAGTGTAAGAATTCAAGAAGCAAGAAGACGATGAGGAAGAACATGAAGAAGGAGGGTATATTTGGACGGAGAGCTAACGGAGAAGAGAAGCCAGTTTCTCAGTTCAAATTAATCCGACGGCGTCATGGTTTATCCGTCACCGGTGACTTTAGTTTTTTATTTTTTTTAGTTTTCAAAAAACTATATATATATATATATATATATATATATATATATATATATATATATATATATATATATATATATATATATATATATATATATATTTAAATGAAATGCCACAAAGATGCCAAGCAAGTAAAATTAATTGGTGACCTTTTGGTAACTTGTTAAAAATGGTAAATGCACACTTTTAATAAGTTGAAGGGTTTAATTGAAGGTTTTTTTAGTTGAAGGGGCTAATTGCACTTTGCTATATAGTTGGAGGGTCTATTTGACCCTTATCCCGACTAAATATAACGTTTGATGATTTGAACATACTAATTGTTTCATGGCATAACTGTCATCTTTACCAGTCTCTAACTTTTGACTTTTTCTAATTGTATTAATAGTCCACATATTAATTGTCTTAAATTATTGGGCTGGTCAAATTGAAATGAAATTTGATGATTAAAAGTGGAAAAAGATTTATTATAAGATCAAAATCGAAAATAACAGTAGATTAATTTATGGGGTCCAATAATTTATGAATATTTAATGAATTTAATGAATGTAAGCCCAAGTCAAAAGTAATAAAATATAATGCCATTATAAGACCAAATGACTTGAAAAGGGTTAGAACTTAGAACTTAGGAAGCATCTTTTATTGCTTGAGACCAAGGAAAATAAAGGAAAAGAATAAATATTATCATGTAATTATCCAGCTCAGCAATCAATCGGGAGAAAGGAGTGGAAATTGGCTATTCGGTTAAATTGAAGGCATTTGAGGCAATAAGTGGGGTAATTACACTTTTTTTATATATAAAAAAAAAATCAATGATCTGATTGCACTTTCGTGTTACGTTTAGTGTCAATTTGACCCTTATTCCTTATATATATATATATATATATATATATATATATATATATATATATATATATATATATATATATATATATATTAGTAAAAGAAGCATTTTGAAAAACAACACTTTAAAAAAAAAAAATTATACTAATTATATTAACAAATCCTACGTCTAGTACGACGTACTTAACATCAAACTTTGCTCAATTGCTTTATACACCAAATTTGGTAGCACTTCGCCAACAAAGTGGTAAGTTGCCATTAAGGCATACTTCTCATGGTTTTAATAGTAACAAATTCAGCAATTGATTTTTGACTGATATGGGAAACATAGTTTTTTACTAATTTTTTTTCTCCTACAAAATAATATTTTTTACAGGCGAAGAAAAAAAAAAACGTCGGAAAGCACATTTGGAGCGCACTTCGCAGCCACGCTGATTATTACACCATTGGTTTTTTTTTTTTTTTTTTTTTTTTCTAATTGTCAGATTCTTTTTTTTCTTTTCTTTTCTTTTTCTCTTTCATTTTTCTCCCTCCTACATGACTACCTAAAAAACTATGCAAAAACTCAACAGATGTGAATGCTCTTGGAACAAAATAAATTCCCTATTTACACTATAATGCAACATCTCAATTGGTTGATGAATCCCACCCACAATTTTTTCTTTGTCATCTTTACAAGAAAAAATTAGCCAATACAAAACTAATCTCCTGAATATATTAATTTATATTTAAAAATTATATTAATTTAAATTGGGAGAATTGATGCTTTTCATCCTAAATTATCGGAAAATAGAACTTCACGTCCTTCAATTATATCTGTTATTATTTTTTGTTACTCAATTTTTTGTAAAGTGTTTTTTTTTTTTTTTTGGATCTTTGAATTCTATTACAGGTTGATTTTAAAAAGTTATTTTACAAAAACAATTGATGAACAAAAAAGCTATTTCATAGACGATTTAGTAACGAAAAATAATGACAATATAATTGAGAGAATAAATTAAAAATGTTATTTTCCTATAATTCAATGATTTTTTTTTATTTAAAAAAGTGTCCCTTTTCCTTTAAATTATATGAGTTGCTATGTGTAATTTATTTTTACTTTATATATATATATATATATATATATATATATATATTATACTTTACACTAACGGTTTAATAGACCATGAATACAAGATACATTTTTAATATAATAAAAATAAATTATTTGTATACTGAATATACATTATTTGATAGTATATAAAATAATGTATTTTATATACACAAATAATGTACTGTTCATACAGCTTCCTGGACCATGGTCATAGAATAATGATATTTGAGGAACAAAGTCTTAAGAGTGAACATTGTTACAAGAAATATTTAAAATTAAAGGATAAAATAGCATCTACGGCTAGCAATAATTGTATTCCCACAACGGTTCATTAAAAAAAAAAAGTGAGAAGCATGACAACCAGTGCCAGTATCATATTCCATACGTACTCCAGATATGAAACCAAAAAACAAAAGAAGTTGAATCTGCATTATTAGAGGGGTAAGATGATTTACAAAATTAGTTGGGCGGTTGGTATACCATACTCAGAACTAAGATGGAGAGCAAGTAGAATCTTGACTCTCTCTCTCTGTGTCTGTGTGTCTAAGAATCCTAACAATACATTATCGATCTTCATCTTCATCTTCATCTTCCCCACTAAAAGTACAAGGCCATATACTGCATCTTCACTGCAATTGGACTTCTGACAAAATGGACACCATCAGTCCATGTCAAGCTCCCAAATGTGAACCCAGTGTTTCTTTCTTCCACTGCAGAAATCTCGAGTGTGAAAGAGCGCTTATGTGTATTGGCATCAAAGCTCAACACATTCGGCTTCACTGTAATGGTGGTGCCCAATGGAGGATTAAACATGGCATTGTACACAGAATTGGGAGGTCCCACGTTTGTCACGGTTCTGTGTATGGTTACTGGTTTATTCAGGTCTGGTACTACTATGGAAGGCAAGTTGAGGTCCAGGGCGGATGGTTTTGTCTTAGGACAGATCTGTCGTTCTTGCTTAACATCGTAGTTTGGGGTTTCTTTCGTGATGTTGTAGATTTCGGAGCTGTTGTAGCCAAGGGCACAGTCATATTTGATGTAGTCTATTTTTTTCATGTCATAAACCAGACCAGGATCATCCGCGCCAGCATTTGCAATGCCTCCCCCGAAATCGAATGCATCTGCCAGCTTGTCTGATGATCCAGCAGCAAAGATCGGAGAAGTGTATGATTCAGAATTCCACGCTGCAAACAAAGCCAAACCAATTAACCTTAATTAGAACTCGATCGAGAAACAAAACTGTACTATGTATCATATATAGCTTAGCCTTAGTTTTATGGTACCTGTTGTGACCAGTGCTGATTTTATAGCTGCTGGAGACCACTCGGGATGCGATGCTTTGAGAAGCGTCACAATGCCGCTGACATGAGGAGCAGCTTGCGATGTTCCTGAGGCGATCGTGAATCCCTTGTTGGATTCATTATCAGTCAGGGGAGAAGCACATAATATTTTGTCCCCCGGGGCTGCAACATCAGGCTGCACCCCACAACAAAACAGAACAGAACAGAACAGACCAAGCATTATCGTATATGTTACCTTGGCAAGAGCAGCAGAGAGAGAGAGGTTATGGATAATGGATGTTACCTATACCTTCAAGATAGTTGGGTCTAAGGAACTAGGTCCTCTTGATGAAAAGGCAACAACTTTGGGAGCTAGAGGCTTTCCTGTATATATGTCTGGAAATCCCATCTTAGCAGTAGGATTCTTGTTGTGGACTATGTATTCCTTTATTCTAGTCCCTGTGTTAAAATCAACCTGAATACATGGGATAGGGTAGTAATTATAGGGTAGATTAGAACTGGTGGGATTCGAGTAAATCATTCCAACCGCGCCTGCAGCGAATGCTTTGCTTACTAAGCTCAGATCATCATCCTGAACTGTCCCGAATATGAACAGAATTCTACCTCTTGCTTCTGTTGCGTTGAATTGTATCCTTGACAGCTCTGCAGTACTGCAAGCAAAGCAACCAACAGGTTCAAGCTAACTCAAATCTAAACAAAACACACACAAAAACACATTGAAGCTAGCAGCTAGCTACCCTTGATATTTCCCTAGAAAATAAAAGGGAGAGACAGATGTTCCTAGTGAAGTTTCCGAGTTGACCTGACAACAAACATTGGAAAACCAACAACTCAGCCTCACCAGTCACCATAATAACTCATATACATACGAGGTTAGGTTAGAATGATTGATACATACATAAATGGTCTCATTGTTTCCAAGAGCGATTGGGTAGAGGAAAGCTCTGTCCATGGTTGAAGCAGCAACAGTTATGAGCCATGGCTCAACATTGGCGACTGTAAATGCAGAAGGGCCGTCATTTCCAGCTGCAACAATCACAGGGATACCATGGCACACCGCATGGAAAGACCCAACCGCAATCGCATTATCGGAATCCACATCTGACTTCAAAGGCACAGACAACCCAATGGAGATGGATATAACATCAACCCTATCATGAACAGCATAATCAAAGGCCGCCAGAAGATCAGAACTTGTACAAGAAAGAGAGGGTCCAGCCACCCTCCAACAGCCCTTGTAGATGGACAACCTAGCACGCGGAGCTCCCCCTCTTATCACACCAAAAGACATATCTGAGCAGTTCACATTCTCCACAACCGAACCTGCTGCAATGCTTGCAACTTGAGTGCCATGACCATCCAGGTCCAGTGCAGAAATATCATCGAATTTCTCTAGTGTCTTCACATCTACTTTGAATTCCTCCATCGCTCCTTTCACAAACCACCGCGCTCCAATTACTTTCCTGCTACAATGCTCTGTTTCAATGAAAAGACCCATGGATTTGCACACCCCCTTCCAAGCCTCTGGGACTGGACCATACCCTTCATCACTGAAAGATGGTCGTGTCCCATCAATACCTGCAAAATGGTTTCAATCACACCCATCCTAGTATATGGAATGAAATCCCATCATATCAAAAGCCAATACTTATACCATGGACCAGGGTCCACCTTGCAAGGTATACAGACCCTAGTCCAAAACCAGGGTGTTTCTTAACATTAAACTTTGAGTTTCTGAACATATGTAAGACATGTTATTAACATGTAACAGAGTGAATGCTGTCTAGTCTAGTTTATAAATGTTAATCTTTGAGTTTATGCACATATAATATAATGTCTAGTTTCTGAACATTAAGCTAAGTTTGAGTTTCTGGACAAAAACAATGTCGTTTTGGACGAAGGTGGACCCTGATCCACGACACGATATAATTTGCAATCAGAAGTCAAGCCAAACCACACCTGAATCTATAACTCCTATGATGAGTCCTTCTCCCATTTTGGCTTTATGCAGCAGATTATCAGTTGCAGAATTCTCAGATGGTTGGCCTTGCCCTTGCCCTAGCCCTAGCCCTAGGAAATCCCAGCTCCTAGAAGTTTGAACCGCGTGCTGCTTGTCCTGGATCACATGAACCACGCCAGGTAATCCTACAATTCCATCTTATACCATTTACATCTTCCTTCTAACAACAATATAATATTAATCTAACACACAAACAATATATACCAGCCACTTTGTTGGCCTGAGACTTGGTTAACTTCGCTGCAAATCCCGTAAAGCTATATTTGTAATTATAGATGATCAACTTTTTAGCTTCTTCCTTGCTGCAATTCATCCAAAAACATAACAGATTCTAGAATCAAATCAAACCAACCCCCTCATTTTTCATCATATAATAACAACTTCCTATATTGTTACCTCCCGACAGCCATGGCAAGCAAATCTCTATGTGATTCCTTGATGTGCTTGTGATTATCGTGAGGCTTTGCCCCAAGATACACAATGTAAATCTGTAAAAGTGTAAACATATTTTGAGATTCAAACACCAAAAAAAAAAAACTAAATTTCGACATTTATGTTTTATATATTACATTACATAGATGCCAGATTACGTACCTTTGTGTCTGTCACATTTTGATTTGCATGTGCAGTCCGAGTGCAGAAGCCATTGAAGAAAAGGAAAAGGGAGAAAAAAACTAGAAATTGGTTTGAATTCAGCATCATATCGCTCTCTGATCTCTTGCTACCTTATTCGAACAGAGAAAGAAAATGATCGAATGTTTGATTGCAAATCTCTATAATTATATATAAAAATTGCCTTCTTGCTTCAAAAAATCAAAATAAAAATTGCCTTCTCGTGGAGACGTTGAAGAACAGCCAAATAACATTATTAATGTCGGTAAAAATCACCTGACCTGCCTACATTTAACCACAAAAAATTGGAAAGTTGTATGATTCTCCGACATCCGTGTGTATGCCCAGCGCTCCCGCCATTTTGATTCGCTAAATTTAACCCTACTATTCATGCTCTTTTTCTTTTTCTTTTTTTAAACTCCATTTATGTATGGATATTGTTATTTGGATAAATATTTCCTAAGATTAACAAAAAATGCATGAGATCTATGTGTTTATACTTTATAGTAATATAACAATGTTTCTTAGAAGAGTTTTTATTGGTTATTAAAAAAAATTAAATCAATCTTATTATATTTGTTTAAGCCTACAACCCTTCCACTCGAAGTCGAGATAACTTGTAATCTCTAATCAATTTGGTTGTCTCCTTTCATACTTTAATTTAACTCTTTAAAATAATGCGCACATTACTAATGAGTTACAACTTTACTTATATTGATATACACACATTCTATTTATATATGATGATTATTACTTTTATTATACTTTGTATATATCACATTTACATTATATTTGAATATGATTCTCAAATAGTAGCGTAGTGACTTATCGGCAAGGAGATGTCTTGAGGATTGATGCTCTAACTTAGTGGGAGAATGTAGACGTGTCATTGGAATAATCAAGTGTGACATATTTATCGTGAGTTGAATAGATCGACTTGTTATCTTATAAGATAGGCTATTAAGCACGACAATGGATTTCAAGTGTTTGATAATGGGGGTGTTTGACAAATAGCTATTAGCGGATTTGACTAACGGATAGCATTAGCTAGTTGTAGAAAGATGTTTGATAAATTAGCTTAGTTGATAGCTAATTACATGCAAAATAACCTAGGGGTGTTTGGTTCACGGAATGTTATATTACATCTGATATGTTGTGATTATATATTATTTTTAACCTACTGAAACACAAAGAACCAATAACGCCTCCATTGAGGCTTGAACTTGTAACCTTCCAAATGGAAGTCCAACCCGAATACCATTAGACCACATAGTCTTGGTTATTTTTACTTGAATTATGTTAACACATTTTAATAAATTTAAAATAAAATAAATAAATAAGATAATGGTTAAATAATATAGAAGTATGATTTAAAATTAATTAACTAATAGTTTGAACAATAATTAACTAGGACAATGAATTAAAATGACAAAATTAACAACAATAAATGGGAATGTGAGAATACCAAAAAAATAGGAGGGTATCTCACATTCCCTTAATGCCTTGCAATGGCTACAAACATTATGTAGATGTTATGTTACATTTTTAGAGGAAATTGCATAACTTGAACCAAACATGAAATCTTATATATTTTCAAGCAAATATAACATTGGTTATCTTATCTTATACAATTTGAACCAAACGTCTTCTTAATGGTATGAGTGTAGTGTGTTATTTTAATAATAATAATAATAATAATAATAATAATAATAATAATAATAATAATAATAATAATAATATTATTATTATTATTATTATTATTATTATTATTATTATTATTATTATTATTATTATTATTTTAACATATGCATGCCTATGAACACTAATCAATAATCACATGTCTCATTGTTATTTACCTTCACGATACTAGGCAACGACATTATGTGCACTGTCGACAGGCTCAAGCACCATGTTGTCTAGTACTGTGAAGAGACAATGGGAATAACGCGACTGGCAGACAGAACTATTGAACTCATTTACAGAGTCTCATTGTTGTTTTTAAAATTATTGAAAGTGTTTTGGAGAAAACAATTTATTTTCTAAAAAAAAAACTTATTAAAATCTATTTGAGTATTAAAATATGTAATATTCATTCATATTCGAGTAGTTCTAAATCTATTTGGATTCACATTTAAAAAGACTAAATAGACGAATATATATCTACTTATACCATGTGCTCAACTACATATCTATATACACCGCTACCACCACCTACTTACCATATCACCATTTCTATATACTTATCCATTGTCACAACCATTATTTATACTATCTACATATCCACTACTATGATTACACATAATAATATATACCCTGTATCTTTTTTTTTTTTTTTTTTTTTTTTTTGTTTACTAAACTATGTTATTAGTGATGGATATATTGGGGGCAGGTCTCGAACAAATCGACTCGAGGCAACTTGATCTAACCCAAGTATGGCCCCTCACTCAACATCTTGGCCTCAAGGCTTGAGCTCAGTGCTCAGAGCCGAGCTCGGTGCCCAGGACCAAGTCCAAGGCCGAGCCTGGTGCTCGGCGCCTTTCGGGTCCAAAGCCGACTGAGGTCGAGCTCTGATCTCGGCCTCCGTGATCCAGGGGGCTAGTGAGTAGGTATTGGGGAGGTGCATGGACTCGGTTAAGAGGTCCCAATCACCCGCCCCTATTCTCGTGGAGGTAATTAGAGGGTGGATTAGTATAAATTTGGTCATTGTTGTCCTATTAAGACATCTCAAATCCTCTTTGTAATCACATTATTCGAATCTTAATACACGCTTTGTCCATGCAATCAATATTCTTGTCTTTACATTTATCATCTTTGTATTTATCATTTTCTCTTAATTATTGCGTTATTTGAGTCGGACTATCCGAATCAAGTTAACCCATTGATTAAGAATAACAGTAGATAAATAAGCGAAGGAGGAATGCGTATGTAATAATCGTATTAATTATTGATTAAGTTATGTGTTTTTGTATTTGAAAAAAATCTGAAACCATGAAACTTTTGCTTTTCAATTTTTTTTTTTTTGTTAAATTTGAAAAAAATGAGAACCAGTGCTTGATTAAGTGATGTGTTTTTGTATTTGAAAAAATCTGAAACCATTAAACTTTTGCTTTTCAATTTTTTTTGTTAAATTTGAAAAAAAAAAATTGAGAACCAGTGCTTAAAAAACACATTCTTTATTTTATGGTTTTTTTTTGTTGTTGTTGTTTTTTTTTAAACTCATAAATTAAACGCGGACTAACACATTAATCTCATAGTGATCAAATATTATGTACGAAATGAAGAAAGCAAAAGGAAAATTTATAATTTATGTCTCTTACAAATATGTCAATTATCAATGTTATTTTTGAATTATTAGTGATGTAAATATAGTTATTCAATTTTTAAAATGTGACATATATAGTTCATACCTTATTAGGAAGAAAGAGAAACATAATTATTGACAAAAGAAGAAAGAAAAATGGAGAAAAAAGACATGGCCCTGTTTGGTAAAATGGTTGTTAGCTGATAACTGTTTGCTCTTAGCTGATTGTGTTAATTAGAGGGTATAAATAGTTAATAACATTAGCTGATTGTAGAAAAGTGTTTGATAAATTAATGGTTAGCGGATAGCTGTTTGGTATAATTTCTTTTCTCAAAAAGCTAATTGAAAAGTTGTTAGGAGTAGCTTTTTTAATTTTAGCCTTTTGAAGTTGCAAAAAGCTAATTAACCAAACATTTATATTGATATTTTAACTAAATCAAACAATTAATAGTGGTCAAATAAGCCAAAATTGACCTATAGGCTAATTTTTTACCAAACAGGTCCATGATCTTCGAACAGGAAAACAGTAGCTAATCACATTTATACCACTAATAATTCATGGGATAAGTAAATATGTCACATATTGAAAATTGAAGAATAATATTTACATCATTAATAATTTAGAGAGACATGATAATTAGCATATTTGTGAGAGTATAAATTACAATTTTTTTTGATAAAAAATGAAAGCTACTCCACAGTCCACACTAGTACCCTTTCATGTATTTCTCGCAATTATAAGCGTACTCATGCTTCTTCCAAAGCAAAAGAAATTAGCGTTTCTTTCCCTCCCTCCATCCCTCGCTCTCCATAAATCTCAGCTCTCTACCAAAAGTTTCTAAGGTACGGAGTATTTTGTAATGATAGATCATTTCTCTTTCCGTTTGCTTTAATTTCTGATCTACAATCTTGGTTCTGTTTTTAGGTCCATTTTATTGCGGAAAAGACTGATAAAAAAGTTATCTTTAATTTTTCTGACACCTTTTCTCTATACTTGCTACATAAGGCCTTTGATATTGACTTTGTTAGGCTTAATTATGATTTTTTATGCGATTTTTGCTTAAAAAAAAAATTATTTATGCTAAAGTCGATTATGGATTTTGGTATTTAGCAATTAGCTAAACTAGGGCTTTTCTCCTTTCTGTTCATTTCGTGAAAGTTTGAATCTTTATTTGGATATTGGGGGTTATCATTGATTTTCTAGTGTTTCCATGGTGTAGGGAGCAATATGTTTGTGTAATTAAGTTAAAGCTTGTATCTTTGGGGGATTTGGTAATGAATCTCTTCTGATTGTTTGCTGCATGGTTTAAAGAAATGATATTTTTGTTGTTCAGAATTTCAGATGGCATTTCTTTGACATGGGTTTGTTTTTTGTAGCAAAGGTTAAGTTTAAAGGTGGTGAAAGGTTGTGTTTTGGGGATTAATGTGATTGAAATTTGTGATTTTTGTGTGGTTGGTTGATTGGAAAGTTCTGCTTAAATGGAGCAAGGTACAGCTTCAAACTCGGCTCGAACATCTGGGTCTGTTGATATGTCTAGGGTCTTGGATGTAAAGCCTTTAAAATGTTTAGTTCCTGTATTTCCATCTGCGAGTGGGATGTCGCCAGTTGGTTCTCCACAACCTTCGCCCTTTGTGTGTGTTCCCCCGAGTGGTCCTTTCCCTCCCGGAGTGTCTCCGTTTTACCCGTTTTTGTCTCATGACTCGGGAGGAAGACCGGCTCAACAAGGGTCTTTTGGTCACCCGATATCCCCTGTTCCGTTAAATTCGTTCAGAACTCCAATGGCAAATGGAAGTTCTGTGAAGTCAAAGAGGACCACTAGAAGAGTTGTGGAAGATGATGCGTTTAGTGACTCCCAGAACCAGAGTGACTTTGGGATGCAAGGTAATGATGACGAAGACACGAGTACTGGAGGGAGACGGGGTAAATTGAAAAGGGGGAGGAGAGGGTCTGAGATGGATGACTCGTCTATTGAAGCGTATTTCGATCCAATGCTAAATAATCTTCTCGAATCATTTAAACTTACTGATTTGGACATGTATAAGAAAGCGGATGGTGACAAGGAGCTAGTTGGACGGATATTGTTGGTTTTCAATTTGTTACGAAGAAAGATGACCCAAGTCGAAGAGAAGAAGGAGACGGCTGCAGGAGCTTCTAGGCGCCCGGACTTGAAGACCGGGACTATGATGATGACGAAGGGAATTCGTACGAATCAAACAAAGCGGGTTGGAAATGTACCGGGGGTTGAAGTCGGTGACATCTTCTTTTTCCGGATGGAGTTATGCTTGGTGGGAATGCATGCCCCGAGTATGGCCGGTATAGATTACATGAGTGTCAAGTTATCCATGGACGACGAACCTATTGCTCTCAGCATTGTCTCTTCCGGAGGGTACGATGATGAGGGGGGAGATGCAGATGTACTAATTTACACCGGCCAAGGTGGGGTCCAGAGAAGGGACGGACAAATGTTCGATCAGAAGCTTGAAAGGGGAAATCTTGCTTTGGAAAAAAGCCTCCACCGAGCAAACGATGTAAGAGTTATTAGAGGTTTGCGAGATTATATGACCACAGCTGGGAAGATTTATGTCTACGATGGTTTGTACAAAATACAGGAGTCATGGGCCGAAAAAAATAAGTCTGGGTGTAATGTTTTCAAGTACAAATTGGTTAGAGTCCCCGGACAGCCCGAGGCATATACTTTGTGGAAATCAATTCAGCAATGGAAGGACGGTGTTGCTGTACGGTCTGGGGTCATCCTGCCCGACCTAACATCTGGTGCGGAGAGTCAACCCGTTTGTCTAGTAAACGATGTCGATGACGAGAAGGGACCCGCTTATTTCACGTATATTCCGACTCTTAGACACCCAAAACCGTTTTTAATGCCGAAACATTCTTTGAGCTGTCACTGCGTAGGTGGATGCCAACCCGGTGACTCCAACTGCTGTTGTCTCCAGAAAAACGAAGGCTTTCTGCCCTATAGTGCACTCGGGGTTCTTATGACCTACAAAACTTTGATACGTGAATGTGGCCCGTCCTGTTCTTGCGCTCCTAATTGCCGAAATCGAATGTCTCAATCAGGTCTTAAGGTCCGTCTGGAGGTTTTCAAAACAAAGAACCGAGGTTGGGGACTTAGGTCGTGGGATCCTATTCGTGCGGGTGGCTTTATCTGTGAGTATGCGGGAGAAGTCATCGATGCATCTAGGGCCGGTGAGTATGGAAGTGAAAGCGGGGATAATTATATATTCGATGCCACCCGCAACTATCCGCCGCTGGAAGTCGTGCGAGATGGTCACGAGGAGTCTACTAAAATCCCGTTTGCTCTCGTTATAAGTGCGAAAAATGGCGGGAATGTAGCTCGTTTTATGAACCATAGTTGTTCACCGAATGTCTTCTGGCAGCCAGTTGTACGTGAAAATAATAACGAGGCATATTACCACATTGCCTTCTTCTCCATCAAACATATTCCTCCGATGCAGGAGTTAACTTTCGATTATGGAATGGTTCCATCAGATAAAGGAGATCGCAGGCGGAAGAAGTGTTTGTGTGGATCGGCAAATTGCAGAGGATATTTTTACTAGCAGTCAATATGGACAATGGTCTCTTCTAATATTGCCCTTTGCGAATAATGGTGACCTCTATTCTCTAATTACTCGGTCTTCTAGTTCTCATTAGAGCAATGTTGAAAAAATCGCTAGGCGCCCTCTAGGCGCCTGGGGACCACCTAGGGCGCCTAGGGGCGCCTAGGCGATCGCTAGGCGCCCTCTAGGCTCCTGGGGACCGCCTAGGCGCCGATTTGCGCGATTTTTGCAACACTGCATTAGAGTTAATTCCTGAAATGGTCCATTAACTATACTGATTTTAATTTTTACCACTCCGTTTATCAACTTTTAATTTCACTCAATAAAGTCGTTAACTATGAATTTAGTCCATGGCTATTAACTTTGTTAAACAACTGTTGCATCTGATGGCAATTGAGTAATTTTCATGCTTTGTTGTTCCCTTCCCCGAGCTTTGGAATATTACTTCTTTTAAAGGCCACCATGCCTCATCCAGATTTGAACATCCCCGGAAGGCCGGGAAGCATGGAAATTACTTCTTTACCCTTAGGTTTGACAGTTGTTTAACACAAGGACTAAAACACGTAAGAATTTCATAGTTAAGAACTTTATTTGGCGAAACTAGAAATCGAGAACCAAAGTGGTGAAATCAGTATAGTTGAAATGCCATTTCGGGAATTAACTCTTCCCTCAAATACATTATAGTTGTTCTTGCTTATTCAATTCACTCTTTGAAAATACATGACATGCTGTTATTAATCCCCTTTGACAGATGACGGGAACGAGATCCAGCAGTGCCCTGTATGCATAAGCCTCGGACTGTATTACCGATTAGGTCTGAAGACAAACTTGTAAAGTTGTTTGTGATGGTAGATTGTAGGCTCGCTGGAGCTCTAGTTTTATATAGCTTGTAAGTGAATTGGCATGTCTTTTAGGGGTTTTATCTTTTAGCATGGACCTCCATGAGGCCTTAATTCTTGCTTGGATTAATGCACTCTTTTGTAAGACCATGATGTTTTCTTCCGGATTATTGCTATTTAGTTTGTTTAGAACCGAGTTTTTCTCCATGCACTCGATCTCTGTGCTCTCTCTCTTTTAGTCACTACCCAAGAGTGTGCACTGAGCAAATTTGTAACATTATGTTTATTAAGTTAACAGTTTGGCTAACTTTGATTAGAATTGTCTCTTCTTTCTCGCTTTGAGTCAACTTTAACTTGATGCCTTATCAGCCACTGAATATTATTACCTTTTGCATTGTGTTATACTGACAATTATTGGGGTCATTTGGTAAATGACAGACCTGTTAGTTTTTGGTCAAACTGCTAAAGTTAATGTTTGGTGATTATTGTAGAGTAAATACCTAAAATGGTCCTTCGACTATAGCTAAATTTACAAATTGGTCCTCGACTTTCAATTTCAACAAATTAAATCCTTAACTTTGCAATTTTGACACGATTTGGCCTCCATCTATTTGACCATTTGTTGACCGTGATCGACGATCTCCAGAAGAACCTTCAGCTCTCGTCGGAGCACGTGGAGGACTCCAGGATGACGTTGCACCGGTTCGGAAATACGTCGTCTTCTTCGCTCTGGTATGAACTCAACTACATTGAATACAAAGGGAGGATGAAGAAAGGCGACCGGATTTGGTAGATTGCTTTCGGCAGTGGATTCAAATGTAACAGTGCGGTCTGGAAATGCAACCGGAACCTTAAAAACCCGACGATGGACCATGAAATTACATATATATCCTCAAAAATCACAGTCAACAAATGGTCAAATAGATCGAGGACCAAATTGTGTTAAAATTGCAAAGTTAAGGACTTAATTAGTTGAAATTGAAAGTCGAAGACCAATTTATAAATTTAGCTATAGTCAAGGGACCATTTTGGGTATTTACTCATTATTGTATATGGTAAAACACTGTTTTTTATGAGAGTATATACTTGTACATAACGATGACTTATGAAGACAATATATATAGATGTTAGATGTTACATAACATTATTCTAACTAATGCATTTTTCATGTAAATAAAGTTAAGTTATGAGTTTTTATCTGAAAAAATGGCTATTTTACTTTACTTGTCTTAAATTTTTCTTACCAGTTGGTCACAGTAGTGAAGTTTGGAAACAATGACTCGGAATCGAGTTGCACCAACGGCAGTGTGGGAGCAACCTCTCAAAGTGAGGGGGGTTCTTTGTGCTCAGTAGGCGAAGGTCTAGCCTCTGTGTTCAGCTGAGTTATCATGATTTACATCCTCCCAAATGCTCTATCGGGTCAGGGTGTAAGACGCCCTTGGGGTTGGAGATTCAACATTTTGGGAATAACAATAATATTTAACGTCTAAGGAATATGAAGTACAATGAAATAACAATAACAATTGTATTTCTCGTCTTAAATTATTGACAGAAGTGTCAAATAGGCCCATCTACGGCAATTTATATCCTACACCACGGCGCGCGTTGCACTATGCGCCCAGATGCAAAACGACGTCGTTTTAATTTTTTTTTTTTTTTAAATTTTCCGCCCCAGTGAATGGCAATAGTTTTTTCTTTAAAAAAACACGCTGTTCAAGAATGTACATAATGTTATACTAGAATACACATAATGTTATACATGAATGTACATAATTATATAACAAAATATACATACTCTTTTTAAAAGATAATACACACAATCTAACATAATACATAATAAACATAAACTTTTAACATAATACACATCAACTCTTAACATAATACACACAAATTTTCTGATTCGGATGTACATAATTGTATAAAAAGAATGTACATAATTGTATAAAAAATACACATAACTGTATGAACCAATACACATAACGTTGTGAACAAATACACATAACGTTGTGAACAAATACACATAATCTCAGCAACTTCCTACCGCGCCTCCCAACACTACCCCAAAACGACGTCGTTTTGGGAGGCGCGCGGCGCACAGTGCTATGTGCGCCGTGGTGTAGGATATAACGATTGCCCATCTACTACTGCGAACTGCGCAATTCATAACACGTACTAAATTAAGTGTCAAATAAGCCAATCTACCAGCTAAATTTGTTGGATTGACTTTTTTTTGTAGGTTGCTAACAGGTTACCTTTTCAATTATATATATATATATATATATATATATATATATATATATATATATATATATATATATATATATAATAATAATAATAATAATAATAATAATAATAATAATAATAATTTCAGCCACCGGCTGTCCGCGCCGGACAGCCACGGCTGTCAAACATGAGTTCCAGATCTGGACCTCAAATGGCCTGGAAGGCCGCCGCCGTCGTTCCAAACGGCCAGCCATGGCCTTAGGTTGATTGCGGTGGCGGCGCGGGCCGAGGGAGACCTCCTCGGTGCTGTCGGAACCCCAGAGGTAATAGGATTTAGGTTTCGGTATCTGCTTAGTAACTATGCGAGTTTAAGGAATGAACTTTCTGTTTCTGTTTATTTTGTTGTAAACTAACATTTACATATTATGTATATAATTCATTGATTTCTATTTAATTTCACGTGTATTTGACCTTATCCTAGGATTAGAAGATTACACTATTATATCAAAATTCTTATGTAAATAATGTGCAATTTTTTGGGGAAAATTCCCCTTTCCCTTACATAAATTTACTGCACTATTCACCTCCTACTATGGCATATGCCACATCAACCTTCTGCATTTTTGTCTCAGCAAGGCAATTCTGTTATTTAAAAAAAAAAAAAAAGTCAAAAAAGTCTTATGTGAGTTGCATCTCAGGCTCTCAGCCATCTCCCTGATTGAATGTAAAGGATGTAAACCCTAGAGGCTTTAGGAGAGATGGAGTTGGGGAAATGAGAGAAGTCATAGCCGAATTTTTCTGCTTTTGCCTTTGAGGTTGCCAGTCAGTGAGTAGTAGATTTGTGTTATATATATATATATATATATGTTAATAATTGAATAGGCAACATGTTACCAACCTGCAAAAAAAATTAATTGAACAAATTTAGCTGGTAGATGGGTCTATTTGACACTTAATTTAGTTCGTGGTGGGAATTGAGCATTTCGCAGTAGTAGATGAGCATATTTGACACTTCTGCCTAAATTATTTTACTAGCTAATAAATGTTGTATTTACATCATCTTTTTTCTCATGAAGTAAGAAAATTTAAAAATTCTAAAAATGTTAAAATATCAAAACATCTTATATTTGTTTGTGTTTAATACCAAATCTTACCCACAAAAGGCAAAATCCCTTGCTCCAAAGCCTTCACACATTGGCTCGACAAGATTATGGAGAGATAAATTACGGTAACTCACTACTCATTAAGTGGGAGAACCAATGCTTGGTGCACTGAAGGAATCACCCCCACAAGAGGTTAAAACTCCACATTGCAGCTGTCACTTCTGTCAGCGCAGTCCATAATAAGTCATCCAAGAACTAATTGAGTTAAAAGATTAAAACACCATATATTCATATTTAATATCAAATATTGCCTACAAAGGACAAAATCTCTCACTCCAAAGCCTTTGCACATTAGCTTGATAGGATTTTGAAGAGATAAATCACGGTAACTCAACGCTCATTAGGTGAGAAGATCAGTGTGGCCAGAACAAGTCACCCCACAAGAGAATAAAACTCCTACTTTTCTCCACAATCAATCATTTAAAAACTACTAGTGGCTTGTGGTCCATTGGTATCGGATTGCTCCCTAAGTGGGAGGTGTAAGGTTTGAACCTTAGTTGAGGCAAGTAGTGTGTGTATATATATATATATATATATATATATATATATATATATATATAAATCATTTCAAAACTAATTGAGTTAGCCGTGCAAGCTTATATCAAATCTTATAACTTAAAAGATTTGACATTAAATTTTTATTTTAGGGGTGTATCTGTAATTAATATTTAATTTTATACATAAAAAATACATAAAAATTGAATCTTGAAGTGAGAATTGACCATAGAGAAAATATTATACATGTACCCATTCAGATAAGGTAAAATGGTGGGAATGATTTATCCATGTAAGCAAAAAAAGGAGAATGGTCCGCTTTGTTTGAGGGTAGGGAGAGAGAGCAAAGAGAAGGTACACATTCTTGAATTGAATTATGTGAGAGGATGGAGAGGGAAAGCTGGTATGAGAGAAGAGGGGAGAAGGAAACACACCTTTCTTCTTCATCTTTTTCTTCTTTTCTCTCTCTCTCTCTCTCTCTCTCTCTCTCTCTCTCTCTCTCGATTCTCACATTGTTCTTAAACTTTTTCCAGCCCCCTCCCTCAATCATCGTTTCAATTCCACCATCTTGGGAATTGCTGCTGTGCATGTGTCATGTGAAACATCACAGAAAGTTGTGTGTATATATATATTATATAGGTAAACAATAAACACACGTTTGTATATATAATCGGCGGCTTGAGTTTCATGCATGACGCCGGAGATGATGAATGGAGTTCAAAGCATGGAATTGGCTCCTTCCATCAGTTCCATGGACCCTCCCAAGAGGAGGCTTTATCAAGTTTGGAGGGGTCGAAATGTAAGCCCTTTTGCCTCTTTTCCTTTAAATTTTATATTTTTTATTATGCCCTACACATTTTATTCCGTCTGTTTTCACAATTCTTTGAATAATGGGACTTGGAGGTATCTTTTGCCTATTTCCATAACTGTAAGTCATGTGCTGAAAGTGATTATCTGGGAAGGCAAAATTTTGGAAAGGACACCATTTTTTCTAACTTTGAGTTTCAAAATTTCCATGTTTCTTTGAATTATTGTTATTATATGCAAAGAAGCTAATGTTGGGCAATTGTAATGCTTGAGTTTGTGTTGAGAGAGTTGTTTGCTGTAGATAAAGTGATAGCCTTTTTGATTGATTTATTATGTTTTGTACACAATAATGTTTCAGTAGTTTCTTGTTTCTGCTGGACTTGAGTTTTGTTGTTATTAGCCTGCAGTTATCTTTAGACTTTAGATTGTCTTGCGGTCATTAGCCCGTTTTGCTTACGTAAGATCAGAAATGTTATACAGTTCACTTTAAAATGAACCGTTTCTATCCTTGGCAAGAAGTGCATATTGCCTCAATGGCACACTCATAAAGATCCTTTATTATTTCAGAAGTTCGTTTGTGGTGGGAGATTGGTCTTTGGTCCCGATGGAGCATCGATGATTTTATCTACTTCTCTAATAGCAACCCCTGCATTAATATTTTGTTTAAAAACACTTCTTAGGATTTCAGAAATAGATCCGTTATATGGGCGTGCTGTTCCAACTGTGGCGTTTATCCTCATAATTTTGGTAGGCAATTTAAAAGTCGAGTCTTTTTCGTAGCCTTATGGTATTAATTACGTGTATATAAAGATGGGCTAACCTACTACAGCAATCGTGTAGGATTTGAACTTTCTGTTCTTGACATCCTCGAGCAATCCAGGACTTGTTCCTAGGAATTCAAGGCCACTTGACGATGAAAGCGTAAAATCTTCAGATTGGATAAACAACTCGTATTCTGATATAAAATTACCGAGGACAAAGGACGTATTTGTCAATGGCCATATGGTTAAAGTGAAGTTCTGTGACACCTGTTTGCTATATCGTCCACCACGTGCCTCTCATTGTTCAGTTTGCAACAATTGTGTTCAGAGGTTCGATCATCATTGCCCGTGGGTTGGTCAATGTATTGGAGCTGTAAGATTCTTTTTCTCTTTAGAAGTTTTCGTTATGGATGACACTTTCCGCTTGTTCTTTCAAAATTAAACTAACATCTATCTGCTTTTGCGTCGATTTGGTTGCAGCGTAACTATAGGTGCTTCATCCTTTTCATAACAACGTCAACAATTTTGTGCACATATGTCTTCATATTTTCATTGTTGCACCTCCTTGAACAGCCGGGTAGCACATGGAGTAAGATGTCGGGGGATGTTGTGTCACTCGCTTTAATTGTATACTGCTTCATCGCTGTCTGGTTCGTTGGCGGGCTAAGTGTTTTACACTTTTACCTTATGTGTACTAACCAGGTTTGCTTTCTCCACTATCGTTTTTCATCATATTATGTAGTGCGTCATACATTTCTAGGATGAACTGTTTGGAGATTTCGGTGAGTTTTGATGAACTAGCCAAATGTTTTTGCAGACTACATATGAAAACTTTCGATACCGCTATGACAAGAAGGAAAACCCATATAATCGGGGAATTGTGAATAACCTCAAAGAAATCTTATTCTCGAGGATAACACCATCGTTGGTCAATTTCCGAGAATGGGTGGTCGTAGAAGAAGAATCAGTGATGGGGTCATTTAGTCATAAATTTGGCGCGATCAATTCCAAAGGCAAGTTTGACCTGGACATGGGGATACTGGGCAAGGATGGTAGTTTCTCGGTTCCAGAAATTTTCCAGAATTTGGATTACAATGGAATTGATCCGAAGAAAGACAAAGGTGCTGGACTCTTTGCATTCGATCCTTTTCTATATCCTCCTTCCATAGACACGAAAGGTGGCCTAGATAGTATTGTGGAAGGTGGGGGCATAACCGAGGACAGCATGTTCCACAGATCTTCACCAAATGTACCTCCTCACATATAAAGGTAATGTATGTTCTTCTGCCTTCATTTTTCTGAGGTGCTTGTATTCCTATGATGTCCCTGAAAGATTTTGTTTTCTTGATTTCACCGGGACATTTTCTCTAGCGTGCTAGTAAACAGGTCACAGCAATGTCTAGTAAGCATGAAAACTAGCTGGAATTTATGGCGGCCTAGCGAATGCAGAAAGTTCCTCTCTTTGCTTGTCATTTTCGTCAATTATGGATACGCGGAAGTGATATGGGCGTATCAAAGACTGCCTTCTTCACATCCAACGGTTGCAGTGGGAATTGGAGCAAAATGAGGCTGCGATCTTGTAAAATATTAGATGAACATCGGTCTTCGTTTTAAGTGGGTTTTATCCCGTTTTGAATTTCTTTTTTGGTTATATATATGTAAATATGTAATGAATATGAATAATTTTTGGATTGTGGGCAGGTTTTAGAGGGCTGGACTTGTAGTTTCACCAGAATTGTTGGTGGTTAGTTTCATAGATTTTCTTTCCTTGAAAAGAACCAAAACTGAGAACATAGCCTGTTGGAATGAAAGCAGAATTTGGTTTATCAGATATTGAGTAAAATGACCATTTTCATCTTTTTCCTCTTTCTCTCCCTGATCCAGATATTGTATATTTGTATTGAAGGGTTTGGGATTTTGGGATATCATTCACTCTCATTTCAGGCAAACTTGTCAATTTGCTCTGGTCTTGTCCCACATCGCCAAGCAAAGAAAGACGCCCAGAAACAAATTGACAAGTTTGCCTGAAATGAGAATGAATGATATCCCAAAAGCATAAAAGCAAACAGGAGAATGAAGGATTCAATCATCAACTGCATTGATCACTAGTTCTAACATGAGTTTTTGGACAGAATCAATCAGAGAAAGATTAAGCAATTTTCTCAAGAAATAATATAAACAAATACAATTGATTGTATTAGCAGTAGAAAACTCAAGTACAGATATCTGGTAGTACAACACAAAGAATTTATCTAGTTCCTTTCCATTTTAGATGCATATTGAATGAAAGGGAGATGACACAAACAAAATGGGAAGAAAAGGCTAAACATTCTTGTTCTTTTTCAACTTGGATGGTGGCCATCTCCCAATCTTCCTTAGATGGCGTTTCCTGAGCAGCCGCTTTCTTCTCAGTCTAATTTTCTTCGCGATTTTCATCCTCGTTTTCTGGTCAAGCTTTTCCTGGAGCTTGGACTCCAAAGGGAGGTTCTCAACGGACACATTTTCCTCTTTACTTTCTGAGGGAGATTCAGGATTGTTGTCAGCGCTCACACCATCAACATCAGAAGTTGCATTCACAACCAATGCATCTCGTTCTTTGATAATATACGGGGCATGAATTCGGTGATTGATGTACGATCTTGGTGCCAAACCATTACAAGTTTTACCAAACCTCGAGACTAATGGTTGCCAAATACAAAGTTGACATGTTAGTGAGAATGACATCTTTATTCTACTTTGGTTGAATACTTAGCTTCAGGTGAAATTAACAAAATGAAGCCCCTTATTTCATCTCCCATACCCCTCAACCTCACCCAATTTTCATTTCAACCTAAATTGACCTCAAATTCTTCAAACTGATTACTATAAGCTAGCTCCATATATGATCAATTCCAAATAAAATTCAACAAATTTCAAACATAGTGAAGTGAACAGCCAGGACATACAGAAACAAAAGGCAAAACAACCACAATGTTAGATGAATTGCCTAAAAAGAGGGCAGAATCTAAACCCAATAAACAATCCCACCAAAGTATTACAACATTTATGGACAGTGAAAACCAACAAATATGCACAAAGTAGACATAGACAGGCAAATTCCTGGCAAATTAGAGAAACTACAGAGCCACAGGGACTGGTTAAAAACTGAATTTGAGCATAAACCAAAATCAAGCATTGTGGCAACACATATAGATTTGAATGTATAAAACCCAAAACCCTTGCGAAGGAGGGATTAGATAGATACTTACAAGGATGAGCAGCGAGCAAAGAGGAAGATGAAGAAGAAGAAGAAGAATGCAATGAGAGAGAAGCGACGGTTGGAGTGGCGGTGAAGAGGAGGAGCGCCGTAGCCATCTCTTCTGGATAAGAGCTTAGTTAGAGCCTTCTTTTTTTACAGTCCGCACTGGAAATATGAATCCACACCAAGTAGATAATGGACTTTCACGGCTTTATCACCTACGACTACGACTCAATTTCTCAAGGATAAAGTCAAAGGGTTTTTATTAATTGATTAAAATAAAAAAATAAAAAACACACATTTTTGTATTGCAAATGAAATTAAATAGATTTTCAAATCTATTTTTTTCTTACCCAAAAAAAAAGTCGTTTTGCTTATTACAAAATGTTGTTATTTCAATTAAAAAGTCATTAAATGTATAATTTTTGTGTTCTTTTAATATAGTCATAGAGAAGAAATTAATAGTACTATTAATTAAAAGATCACTCCCCCTCCCCTGCTGAAAGGGGTGGCTGTTCGGTCGAGTGGTTAAAACATAATTCTAATTTCGTCACGTATGATTTTTTTAGTGCAATTTATTTTCCCCAGATGATTTATAAATTATTACATAAGAACGGATGCATACCTTCAAATGACAATTTATATCGTGCACCAGGACGCGCATTGCATTGTGCGCCCTGATGCAAAACGACGTCGTTTTACATAACTGTATAAAAAAAAATACACATAGTTGTATAAACAAATATACATAATTGTATAAACAAACACACATAACTGTATAAAAAAATACACATAATTATATGAACAAATACACATAATGATATAAACAAATTTACATAATCACGTCGACTCCCTTCCGCGCCTCGCAAAGCGACGTCATTTTGGGAGGCACGAGACGCACAGTGCTGCGCGCACCGTGGTGCAGGGTATAACGATTGCCTTCAAATAATAATTGTGTGTTTCCTTGTTACCCAACAAAAAATTAGAGGGCCACTCATTGTGTTTGTAAATCTTTTGTTTCATATTTTTTATAATCCCCTAATATAGCATATATTCGCTAATGTCAAGTGTGTGCATATATACACTATACACATACATATATGTATGTATTTAATGTATACACACACATTGCTGATTAACATAGCATTAACTAGGTGTAAATTAACTAATTTTAACACAAATTAGTCAAACAAAATCATATAGGAAATACAAATTGATTATGATGGAGTTGATTTGGGGTTGACTTCAATTCAATCTCTAAATTCCATAAGAAAACCCAATTCACAAGTCACAACTCCATGTTTAACCCTGTTATTAACAATCTAAACCCTTTTCTTCTTCTTCTCCCAAACATCTATTATGATTATAATGGAGGATGCATCTATTCCTGCCTAGGGTCATACAAACATCTATTAAGTCCAAAAAAAAAAAAAAAAAAAAAAAAAAAAAAAATTGAATCAAGCTTCAGTTAAGCATCCTTCTATATTAGCAAGGATTGCAACAAAAACTCACCAGAATCAAATTTGACTTCAATAGAATGCTGTACTATGAGATCACATGTTAATTTAAGACATCCATTCTGGTGCCATTGTAAATGAGATAATACTACTAGTATTTCTTCAAGAAAAGAAACCAGTTCAAGAATCAGTCTTCCGAGTTCTATCAATTTACAAATCATTGGCAATAAACTGTCACCAAAGCTATCTCTTCCACCCAAAAACATAAATTCCTCAAATTCAAGTGAACTTGTTATCAGCTAAACAGCTTTGTGCAGCACAGGTCAGAACATTATCAGATTTGTTGAAGCACCAACAACAAAGGGCTCCATCAAGAGCCTTGTCAAAAAGTAAAACATAACCCCCAGAGCAATTGAAATTGGAAGTGCAGGCAAAGCATGTCGGCACACTGCTAACAGAATAAGTGTACATCCCAATCCACATATGATAGCAAGGTAACAAGCATACACTGTCATCAGATCAAACATTGCAGCCCTTCCTAGCAGCACACTATAGAAGATAAAGTCCCCCAATCCAAGCCTGATCCCCCTCTCTCTCTCCTCTTCTTCACTTTCCCTCTCTCTCGTTTCTCTGTTTTCATTGCGCCTAATCTCCCCATTTGCCAATTGCCTTTCTGTCAAATTACTGCTAGTCATCAATGGAGATGTTTCCCCCGCGATTTCATACTCAGTTGAAACCTCAATCTCATTATTTTCATTTGGGACATTTATTGCTGAATGTGGGTTGTTTCCACCAACTAAACCACTCACATTCTGATCCTCGCCATCACTACTGGTATTACCAGAAATGGCTTGAAGCTCAACTGACCTTCCATTAGAAAAACCAGCCAGCAAAAGTCCAACCCCAGGACTTCTGCTCCTCTGAACTCTAGGCCGGGACTCATAAACTAGAGCTGGGAGTTCCTCATTCCGCGTTGAAGCCAACTCCACCAGAATTTTGAGCGGTCCTCCAGGGGCCAACACTGCAACCAAGTCATACAAAGCCAACATCACAAGGCAAACCCAAGTGGTCCACTCAGGCAGTTTGGTGAACCAAACAGCCACAATGATACCAACAGCCACCATGTACATCTGGTTGAGCAGAATAGGCACCCCTTGTGCAAAGACAGAAATGACTCCAACAATGCTGAAATTGAAAAGAAATAAAGCACAGGTGATGGCATCAATGGGGATGTTGAAGTGCTGGATAAGAGAGAGGAAGATGGAACCACCCATGGAGGTCAACACAAAGAAGACAGAGAAGCGAACGTAATGCTTGATAAAGTTTGTGAAGCGGAAGTAGTAGAGGGCCACAAGGACAAAGGTGACAACAGCAATGAGAATGACGAAGACCAAGGCATTGAGGAGAGCGCCTTCCAGTTTCTGAGCAGTGGAATCAGAAGGATCCTCTAGGTATACGAGATTTGCAGCAGTCTGGATAGTGGCGGTGGGGTTGGTGGGGGAAGAGAGTGAGTAAACAATGAGGACAACCAGAAGCATGCATATGGACACCGGAGCCATCACGCCGGTAATCTCCCCTCCGATTGTATCTAAAATGCTGCCGTAATCCATTCCGCCTCCGGGAAACTACGTAGATGAGGGGGAATCTCTCTTCCTTTAGAAAAAACAAAATGGAAGCCGCTGTTCACTTCTTTATGCAACCTAAACACAAGCAAAGAAACCCTAGCTTCACTCGACTGGGAATACTACACATATACAGATACGAATACATATAAATTGGATTCAAGTGAATAGTAGCAGAGTCGGAAGCTTTGCGCAGAACAAATAGAAAGAAAATCGGAAAGCTTGCTTTTACCGATTAAGGTGCCGGCGTCGATCAATTTCTGTGCAGCCGAATATGAAGGATGAACAGGAATCTGATCGGAGAGCGCCGGAGCTAGTGGACCGATTAGGACTGGGAACGAGTCCGGTTATTCGGTAGAGAAGTTGCCAATAGTAAAGTGCCACACTTACCAATTGCGGTTATTCCTAGTTTGTTTTGAATACATTGGTTCGAAGAAAAGAAAAGTATTATTTTTAGAAAGTTCTATGTAAGTTCCATATATTATATTTATTTATTAAAAAAAAGTTTATTTGACGAAGTAATTCAAATATCGTAAACTTTTTGATAGTGACAACTGACGAGGAGGAAAGCGATAACATCAATTTATTTATTAGTCATTACATATAAGTTGTTAATTACCATTGTTTTTTTTTTTGTTTTTTTTTTTTTTATTATTTACTGATTCTGTTACAATGTAAGTATCTGTTCATAGCAAATTTTTCAATTGAAGTACAAAGAGCCAATAACACTCTCACTAGAGCTTAAACCAAATGCATCCTATTTGAGAAAATCACTTTATGACACTAGACCACAAGCTCATTGGCATAATAACAGATAATTATTCTGTCATTTATTTTAATATATTTTGCATAGTTTCTTCTTCTCATAGCACCATTTATCAAAGTATAAATCTAACATGGAGTGCCATACTTTCCTTTTTATTTCCCCCAAATGGGATTTAACTCAGACCAATATCAAAGGAAAACTAAAAACCAACAAATATAAATATGTAACTATTTTAAAAGAAAAAGAGTAGCATACAAGGAATTAGTCTCGGAATTATAGTTCAATTATAGTTCCACAAAGAAACTGAGCATACTTCAGCTGAATCAACACAACTGTGAGTTGAAGCAAAACCACATTTCCAACTCCTTTACATTTAGGGCATGAAACACCATCTTCTTGCAGCACTTGGAATGTTTATCACTTTCTCTAGCTGCAGAAATTGCAATATTTTCTCGATTGCCTCATTGTCTGCATGAGCTCGCTCATGCACAACATTCAATATACGGAGAACTACATATGCGTGCACAATCTATGTAAACAGCATCACCTATAAATAAAATCCAGGCACATAGTGAAATTAAAGAAAATCACACTAGCAAATTCTCAGTTATCTGATTTGCGGTATAATATACTCAAACATGTAACAGATAACATGGTATTGTAAGTAAAGAGAATGAGTACCTTGATTATGGAAGAACATGCGAACGAAAAATAAGGGGATATGTTAAGCAAAATCCTGTGCTCCAACACTGCTCAAGATATCCAAATGAGCAAATGAATCATTGCATATTCACCAACTGAGAGCTCAACAAGTGCAATGGAGTTTAATTATGAAAATTAAGAATAATAAGATTTTCTTTAAAAAATAGCACACGTAATCTTTTTTTTTTTTTTAAGAAGCATGTCTAGCAATGATGGTGATGTCACGACTGAAAACTCCATTACATTAGTATCAGACAAACCGAATTGTAATTTGACTTACCACTGAAAGCAATGGTCCCTGCTTGAACTTGTCATGAAATGAAAAAGTTACTGGCTTGGGGTTATCCCCGGGACCTCTAATAAAACCTCTGCATTAAATTGCAATTCTAGAATTAGTAAGAGATATCAACTAACATCAACAGATCTGCAACAATTGACAAGTAAAATAAAGAGAAAGCATTATGGACAGAAAATATAGCCAATAATGAATTGATAATTAGTAGTGAAAGCAGCAAGTAAATGTGAAATGAGAAAACTGCAAACCCACATCAAGGATGCAGAAATCAGGGGATTTCTCCTAACATCATATATTGCTACAAGGCCTTTGCATGGTTCTTCCCCATCTTTGTATGATAAAGCCAAACGCTCTCCAGAGGCATCCCATGCTATCTTCTCAACACCTTCACTGCACCAAAGAAAAAAATACTTCCATGATTAACAATACTCCAGGAATAAAACAATAAATGTAGATATATTGTGTCCAACTGTCCATCCAACTTATAAAAACACCACCCATTTCACTAGACAAGTATTGTCAGCATAATTCCAAGATGAAATCTGGAATTAACCATTTTACTTTTCTTGAAACTAAATAGTAAACTTTGTCATTAACATTCCATCTACAAATATTAAATAAATACAAAAACCATTGATATTTTAGAAGAATTCAAAGATCCTATGAATCTGACAAAGTATAATGCCATAGTCAAGACACAATTACACAAAGAACAAAATAGTGGGGACTATCCAACTTGCTGAAATAGCTTAGAGGGGATAGGTAAAATATAGAGAAGACATCCAAGCCATTTTAAACCAGTGTTAAATGTACCTGCCAGTCAGGGATTGCATCTCTGGCAACTCAACAGGTATGAGATGTGCATCTGAAGAAGATCATTAGACAAGTGAGTGTCTATTCTGAGTTCAACCATATTCGACACGAAAGACTCAAATTGTTAAATTCATTCACACAAAATGCTGTAGTAAAAAGTCAATCCATTTGCAACAATCTATTCAGGTGACTTCATTTTTTGACAGTTCCTAGGGGTTGTGGATAAAGAGAAACAAAGATGAGTTCCATTCATCACACACCAGTTGCATTGCAGCTTACACTTATGAATTTGATGTATAAAACTATAAATTAGCAGCAAACACAGACAAGTAAATAAACACAGAATGCATGTATAGTACAAGAAAAGCTCAAGAAAAAATTTCAGACGATAGACAAGTAAACACAAATAATATAATATATATAAGTGATTGTTCCAGCTAAGTTGGATGGAAACAGGCAGAGAAAAGAAGGATCCCAAATAGGAGATAAACGTACAAATAAGAAACATAAATGTTTATTTGCAAATATTTTTTCTTTAAACATCATAAATATTAATTGTATACTATTTTCTTTTTAGGAAATGCATTTTTGATTTTTTTTTTTTTAAGATTAGGGAAACGACTCTGAAACGTATTATGAAGTTTCCATAAATTTTTGGGAGGAAACATTTCAGGAACACAGAAAAGCTAACCCTTAAGAGTTCCCGAGCATTGCTCCATTTAATTAGTTAAGCATAGAGAAAATTGTTCTTTGCCCAGTGTTATCATTGGATTTCTTCCTCAAACTGTCACTTGTTCACAGGCATGGATACTGCAAATTTAGACACTTCAGACACATAATGGACAAACACTATAAAATTTCTTCTCATGGTAGCTCATTCCGGGAAGCTATGTTGTATTCAACTGAATAACTAAGGAAACAGAAGAAGCCTAACATACCAAGTGATGGAGGTTTGGTGGCAAAGTGAATGGAACCTAATGTTGAGGAACCAGAAAACGAAATAAGTATTTTACTACCATCAGGATCCCATGCTGCTCCCTGCAAATAAATTTTCAACATTTAGAACTTGACATACTGCCCCATTGGTCAACAGAACTTGTGAGTGAAATTTGAGGCTTCTGTTTAACTTCCTTAGAATGTGCATGTCTTAGAAACACCATACCAGCTTGAAATTAACCATCAATTCTCCAGTGAAACTTAATACAAAGAATCTAAATAGGTTCTAAATGCATGAGCGAAAGGCAGTTATGTATACAAAAAGAAGAGAAAAAAAAATCAAATTAGCCTATCCATAGAAGCATGAATACCTCACTTTATTATATCAGTAGTCCCCCTTCATGTGATGTGGAAAATTCAGAAATAAAGAAACAGATTGTGCTTCTGGGAGTAGTATTCCTAGAACATAGATTAATATAGATTGCAGATATCTTTAACTTTTATTGTAAAGATGCTAATGTTGATAGCGTACAACACTTTATGGACTTCTTAAGTTTGCTCCAAATTCAAGTTCTGCAAAGTTGGTCCAAGAACCATCTTGGTGCCTCCTTGTGATTAAATATCTTGTCAAAAAATAGAACTATAGAAGCATGATGTTTTAACAGCAAACACCTAATCCTATTAGCCATAGAAGGAAGGGCATTTTTGTGACTAACCGTGACAAAGCCATTTGTCGAAGACCATGGTTCTGAAGTCCACGTGTTTGTCTCCCAGAGATAAAATGTCCCATCACTGAAAAAATAAATTTGGGGTTTGTGGGGGAGGGGAAAATTAGCGTCTTTTTGTGAGCTGTGAAATTTTTGCATCTTTCTTTAACCTAAGAGATTAAGCATAAAAGCATTTATCAACATAGAGAAAATTCTTCTAAGAAATTACAATTTTGCAGCAAAAAAATAATCTCCAGATGGTGACCATTTGAGCAATGATATTCCCCCTAAGCCACGCCGAATCGGTGTGCCCACTCCTGCATAACACATCAAAATTGTAATTAATTAGAAATTAAGTATTTGTTTAATATAAGTAGAAAAGAGAGACAAAAAGCACAAAGTGAAAGACAAGAACACCACTTTACATGAGAATATGTGAAACCTTCATTCACAATCAAACCAAACCACATGACAGTGGTGCACTTAATTTAAGGATTTTAAGCAAGCATCAACTTGACCCTAAGCAATTGTAAATTTGTAATCCCTTTGGTAATTTGGTTCCTAGCATGGCTAGCAAATAGGTAAAGTGAGAAGTCTACCAGAAAAACATATTCTGGGGCAAAAAAAAAAAAAACTGTTCATATCTGCCCAAGTTTTTGTTTCTTCTACACAAAAGGCATCTAAGGAATTAAGTAGTGCGTGAACCCAAATAAAGCTTGTTTAATCCAAGATCTCCATAGATTATGGTTAAGATAATACTTCACTAAACAGAGATATAAGATATTAAGTATTTAAGTTTATGGTTTAGGCCAGACTGTTTCTCTAAAAATTTGTTCTGAACAAATATACATGTCAAAGTACTCCTTGTTCTCAAACAATTGTGCTTTAATTTCTCATTACAAAGGAAACTTTGTATTCTCTATAAACGAAATGTAAATGCCAATTTCCTGTATTTGCTCTGTTCTTTGATGTTGATAATGAAAACAAAAATTGGAATGATTCCTCACATAAAACCTATAGCAACGAAGTCATGAGACGGATCTAGAAGGAAAAAAATTTTTAAATACAGAAAATTTACTTAAAGCTGTGAGACATAAAGTAATGGTAATTATAAAAACTATAAGAGAATAAATAAATACCTTGAGCAACATCCCATACAGTGAAGGATGAGCTCTCAAATGAAGCTGATGCCAAATATGTAAAATTCAGTTAAGGAAACCAAGAACTTAGGTTTAATCATTATATAGGAGACAATCCAAATACACCAACGCATAATGTAACTTTTCATGTTGCTTCCTATTATATGGTGACAAATATATGCATCTTATATGATATTATTAGCACTGGACCAGAAGAATAACAAATTCAATGACATGGAACCAGCAAAATGGGGAATAACTCACCAGATGATATAATCCTATATAAAAGAAATTTGATGTCAGATATCTATGGAAAGCAGAGCAAATAAGAGGGCATACTTTGAATTACTAAGGAAGACAAGGAAACTCTGAATAAGTTCATTTTTCTTACACAATTTAGCCTATGCTATGGAGCCTAGGATGAAATATCAGATATTAGTGCATGATCTGAAGGCCTACTACAAGTACAACATTGTATAAGCAGTAATTAGACTATAGTCATTCAGTGTCACTAGGTAATTAGACTTCAGTCATTCAGTACACATTTCCTGATCTAAAAAATTTATGTTGCAATGTTGCATAGATGAAAGCAATTAACAGGTCAACACTTTTGGTAAGGAAATGTGTTCAAGTGAATCTTCTTATCTGTTAAGTGCAGCACGCAAACTACTGGGCGTATTTATTTAGCTAACATGAAACATGACATACAACACGATCTATATTGTATCCTTGGTTCATTTAGTTGCACATTTTAAAAAAAAAAATAAAAAAAATTACAATTGTTATTATATTTATATCCCAGAAATAGATTTAATTAACTAAAAAAAATAGTAAAATACCAAGTATCCTGTAAAGGCAAAAGAAAGTAAGAAACTGAAAGCAGCCTGACTTCAGAAAGGACAAAACCACAGAAGAGTTATCTTGATACAGTATTAAAAGGAATATATAATGCATAATAATGATTAAAAAGACAGCATTAGGATATCTTCCGCTAGGGCTCCATGACAGTGCACTAACTTGTTCATCCTCGGGACTTCGAAGGAAATCCACAAGAGTCCACCTAGTCCCTGAACCTCTAGAGAGAGTGCCCAAGGTAACTCCAGTTCTCACTGAAGCTGCATTGCCTGGATATGAAGAAGCCCATATGCAAATGCCACCCCTATTCAGCAAAAGAGTTGGGCGAAATAAACATACTGTTAAACAAAAACAAGTCAGTTGAATAGTAAATCAAGATGTAGCAATGCCATAAGACTGACTTGCAGGCGACAGAAAGTGTCCTTCCACCATTTGGTCTCCACTCAAGTGTTTTAACATCTTTTTGGGATTCATTGATCAAAATGCAAGGATTCTTCCCATCTGTCAAATTTTTTTTTTTTTAAATGTTTAGGTTCTCAGGCACAGAAATAAAGTACATGAGAGAAGCTGAGAAGTAAAGAGAGGACATCTAGATATACTCTACAACTAAAAATAAGTACTAACCTGAATCCTCATAATCACAGACTGTCACCTGGTGAGGTCCAGAAATAAATGCAAAAATATGTTTGTGTTGGTGCCAACTTAGGCCACAAATATCAACACCAGGCAACAATTTTACCTACAAATTAATTATACACAACAAAAAATGACAAGAATGAAGAGCAGAATTCCCAATTAACCAATGACACAATTCTAAATGCAGCATTTATTACCCCCAAAAAAAAAATCAGTATTTTCGGATTATTATCTTCAGGTATAGTATGATGTTCAATAAGTTGCAAGCAGTGTTAATTAGGCTGTTATAATTATAACAAAAAGAAAAACGGATATTTACATCAATTGGGTGAAAAATATGCTTAAGCGAACCGGTAGACAGAGCCTTCAATGCTGCCCACAGAAAACCACTCTTCTGCTCTTCCGAGCCGAGCTCGGTGCTCACCCCACCACCGGACAGATTCTCAAGTTGAAATGGAACCGGGCTGAACACTACTCCCTACAGTATGCAATCAAATTCGAATAATCACAACCTTACTCCTCGGATAACACCAATTCCTGATTAAAAGTAGTTCCAAATCAATCAAATTCGTATAAATTGGAAACTTACAAGAAGCTTGCCGTATGCCTCCCTGGCACGATCCTCGGAGATTTCATCGGCGGTAACTGTAGCGTTTGAGAAAAAAGGGAAATGTTAGATCGTTTGGGAAGCTGTTGATGTACGTGGAATGCAGAAACTGAGCAAAAGCAGAGGTATAAAGAGAGCGGGATAAGTTGGCAATACTTACTGAGGTCCCGATTGATTTCGCAGATGGTGACTGAACCTACCGGAGGAAACGACGGCATTTCGGGCTTTCAGGCGAAGAGAGTTTGAGTTTGAGTATATGGGTAGGGTTTGTGGTTTATTGTTCCCGGCAGTGTCTTACACAAATTTACAGCACTCTCTGTCTTTACTCTTCACACAAAGACTATAATAGAGATGTCAATTGTATTCGTACTTGACTGGGATCTCGATTCTGAGCTCGGACAAAAATGAAAACAAAAATAGGGAATCGAAATAGAAATGTGGCAATTTTGAATTCTCCGTCGAAAATGGGAGCAGGGATGAGGAGTACTCTTCCCATTACGTTCTCTATATATATGTGTGTACGTATGTATGTATGTATAGTCATACACATATGTATTACTTTGTATATAACATATATAATTTTAGAAGCATTTTTGTCATTGTATGTCTATGTTTATGAAATGTATATTCAAATAACATGTTTAATTATAAAATATTGAATACTCCTTTTAAGTTGGAGAGGAATACATATACGTTATTTATTTAAATATTTTTTAATGTTTAATTTTTAATTTTTTTATAACTTATAAACGAGGTGGAGATTTCCCGTCCCCGAATAATCTTCGTGGGGATGGGGATCGAGGGATTTTTCCCTTCCTCGGAGGGAATGGGGAATGGGAAGAAAGTCGGGGAAGGGGATGGGGATATTTCTCCCACCTCCACCCCGCCCCGTTAACATCTCTAAACTAGAAGACGATTAGAGCATCAATATCAGCATGAGATCATTCACGATTTTTAATGAGGTTTCAAGGAAAAAAAAAAGAGTGGGGGAGAAGCGAACAGCAACTGACGCAAGAAAAAAAGAAAAAAGGCGGGTCGGAGTGTGAGGGGCCCTTAGGATTGGGGATTCAGCCTTGGGGTAAGAAAAAGAAAAAAGGGGAAAAGGGCTATCTCTCACATGGTGGCCCCACAATTCTACCACCCTTTGCAGGAGAAATAACTTCCAAATAACCTCTATTGTGGATACTCTTAAACAATGTCTGATTTAATTGATTCAATGATGACCTTAAATTTTTTATTTTTTATTATTATTTTTTTTTTTTTGCAAAGTGTACTAATGAGACAACTTGTGATTTATATATTCCGATGGTTCTTCGATAGAGGATTCTAAGGAGTTAGAATTTGTCTAGCATAAAATTGAAGTGTGTATAAATTTGAATCTCAATTAAAATTTTGATTGATATTTCATGACTTTTTAAAAAAATTTTAAAATTTGAATTGAATACATCCAAACTTTTAAAGTTTATACAAATCTTTAAAAATCTATGAAAATCCAGATTAAATACACCCCTGATTTTCAAAATTCGTGTTCTCAAAATGTGTAATGTTAAAACTATTAACTACGGAGTATTATTTAGCACAAATTTTATTTACTTATGACCATGTTTCCCAATGGGTGACTTCACACAATCTGCATGAAGATTCATAGGTGACCAGAATGACTGAAAAACTTTTCAATTAAAGTTCAATGGTCTAGTGACACAAAGTGATTTTTCCATATGAGAGATCATGAATTCAAGCTTCAATAGGAGTAATACTCCTTGTGCTTTAATAAGTTAGAGAAAATTATTACAGATAATACATTATAATAGAGTCAAAATAGTACTCAAAAACACTTCAATCAAATCTTTTTAAAACGAGTGGGAGTATTTCATACAAGAACACTCGAGAGTATGATTTCATACTAGCGAATTTCCAGTGCAAAAATTCATTTAATATACATCTATGTAGTACAACTTTTGGACAATAAATACAGCTACACACAGGCCAATAGTAATTTAAGAGTTACCCTTGGATTGCAATTTGCAAAGAACTATACACACAAATACATTTAAGTATATAAATCAGCTAGCAATAATAACTCAAGATTCATCCTCAGATCCAGCAGAAAGCATCCATGACAGGTAATCTGCACCTTGTTCAATAATAGGATCAGTATCCCTCGGTGGCAAGATTCTTTTTCTCATCAAAGTCTCAAAAACAGGGAGCTTCCTTTTCCGACCACCTCTCTCTCTTGACCGGAATTGTTCATCGGACTCTTCAAAATCTCCCTGTGGATATCAAAGTAGTCATGCCAAAGACAACAGTTAAAATCAATGTTGAAATGTAATAAACAAGATCAACAGTCACATGTCCTTCTCAATGAGCAAAAACCTACCTGTGTGTACAAGTGGCATCCAGACTTTTCATGGTTATCTCTCACATGCTTGAAGGAAAATCTCATGCCACAACCAGATATGCTGCAGGCAAATGGCTTAAGCTCAAGGTGAAAAGCCTTCACATGCTGATTTAGATTTGATCTCTGCACACAATGTTCACATTCAAAGCATTAACAGGTGTGAGAAATGTAATTATCCCTGAAAGGGTGGGACAGGAACTTCAAATTCCCAGAATTAAGATATCCCTAGAAAGACTACTCACTGTTGCAAATGTGTGCTCACAACCCTCGAAATCACACTTGATTCTCTCTGACGAAGGCTGAGCTTCATGCATGCGAAGATGACGCTTCATATTCTTCTTCAGTTGCTTTGTCCCACAGATCTCACAGACAATATGTTGGTGGCAAGACTGAATATGTTCCTTAAGGCATTGTTGATTTGTGAAATATTTCAAGCATCCTGGTTCCGTACAAATTGCTTCAACTGTCTCCAACTTAACTGCAAAAAAGAAACCCACATGTAAGGTCATCTCCCATCATCAGATTCTCGCAACTTATTAATGTATACATATCCCTAACGTTCTTCCCATTAACAGGCTTACCATGTGAATCTTCATGTGCCCTCAATTTGGACGCATACTTGAAAACCTTTCCACACCCATCTTCAGAGCACACATATTGCTTTGGACTATCAATATGACTTGAATCACACTGATCATGCATCTCTTTTACATGCCGTTTCATATTACTTTGGACACTAAATTTCCGACTGCAACACTCAACAGGGCATTCAAACAGTTTCCCCTGGTGCTGAAGGAGATGTCTGGTTAAGTGATCCTTCCTTCTGAAGCTGGACTTGCAGTCATCTACTGGGCATGTGAATGGCCTCTATTGATAGGAAAATAAGAATGCAACCATAAGTATTGGAAACTCAACTAAGGCTATTTACTTGAGAAAATGAAGGATAGAGAAAGAGGATCTCTTGGCTCATGAGAGGACAGCGTGATTGAGGCTCACTTGATGGAGCTTCTCAGGAGGTCCCCCTACCTGGTACTATTCCATTCAAGATAATATAACTGCCTCGCGCATTTTGGAGTTCGTAGTAGTTTGGGATCCAATGCTTCACACTGTTGATATTTGATAATCCATGAAAAATTTTACTCTATATCTGCAAGATCAACAATTCAGAGACACACAAGTAGTAGAATTAAGACAAACCCCCCAAGATACAAAATTTAAAACACAAAAGCTCAAACCCAATCTGAAATTACAGAAGCCCAGAAACAATTAGAAAGAAGATCCCTTCAAATAACATAAACACAATCAAGTCACAATCCAGAAAAGCATATAATATAAGTGTGTGTGTCTATAATGTAAGAGATCATAGTACCACTTCATCACGTCCATAGGACTACTACGCCTAACCTAAGGTGTTAAGGTTCAAAATGAGTTAATCAATTACACAACTAACCGAAGAATACAAAAACTACTTCTCAAGTTCTAATATTTATTTATAGATAAAGGCTCCGATTCTATACCTCAAGTGAATGACTTTGCATATGCTGCTTTAAATGAGCAGGTTTCCGGAAGCTCGCTCCACACTCTTCACATGTGTGCATCTTTGGACCCTCCTCTTTCGACTCATCAGATTCACCTTTCGCTTTGAGCTCATCCTGATCAAAATTTAACAGGAAAAAGAAAAAAAAAATCAAATTTCCAAAATCTTTTGAAATTTCGATTAACTTAAAGATAATTATACACTCTGAATCTGAATAATGCACCTGATGGTGAGCAAGGACATGGGAGGAGATGAGTGCTTTCTTAGAGCGGCAAATACCACAGAACTCGCAGTAATATCTCCTTATGTCCTTGAAAATTACTGGTCTGTTCTGATCGCCCTCATCCATTTCTCGATCGGATCTCTCTCTCTCTCTCTCTCTCTCTCTCTCTCTCTCAATTTGTTAGACGGGGATAAGAGGAATAGCGCCGCCGCAGCTACGATTGGCGAAGGAGAGTTTAGCACATTAGCGCACAACGATTCGACGCGGACATAAAAATACCAGGGGATTAGGGTTTTCACTTAAAATGACAATAATATCCTTATACAGATCAGGGCCTCAGGGGACTGAGGGGAGTACTTAGGCGGCAAGGTTTTACGGAGTAACTTTTAAGAGATCTCTTTCCTTATGAAATAGTTTCCTTTTTTTTTTTTTAGATTTGGAAGATAATAATGTAACTTTGGTAAGTAGTTAGCACCAAATTTAAGTTTAATTGGTTAGAAATTTGGTGATTGAAATTTAGGAGATTCATTGCATTTTTTAAACCGAGCGTATGTTTATAGACACATTGACAAAAGGTGGGATGGGGTTATGAATTTCTTAAGCTTAAGCCATTTAAGATTTTTTTGCTTTGACTTATTGTGTCTCTGTCAAAGATTTTATGGTCAAACGGTATAATTGTGACTTTAACTCAAGAACAGAGTTTACATGTCATCAAAGAGAGATTTTATTCTAGATTTTAAATAGGTTTGAGTCTATTTAATATCTACACATTATACGTTTTATAAGGACTATATATATTTGTTAAAAATATTAAACATAATAATATTATAACAATAATAGACAGTTTTAGCTTTTAAATATGTTTGAGTCTATTTAATATATACACATTATACACTTTATAAGGACTACATATTTGTTAAAAATATTAAACATAATATTTAAACACAATCTTAACTATAATATAGCCATATGATTTGGTGAGCAATTATTGTTACAATTATTATCTCTATCCTTATTATTATTGTATTCTTTAATTTTTTGGATCTTCTATATTATTATTTAGAAAATGGTGATGATGATTAATAGTCATTTATAGTTATAAATAATTGTTTGGTCTTTAAAGGTCAATTGTATGTTGTTACATCTAGAGTTAGAAATCTCAAAGGTCTAAAAATTTTGATCCGTGATGACTCTGAAAATTGTAATTCAATTACTATTGTAGTTTACTACGTTCTTAAAAATTTGTAATATTAAATATTATGTACTAAATTTTTAATATAGTTTAAGATGTGTAGTAATCACTCACCTTAAATATAAATTCTTAATGTAATTGTAAATATATTTATGTTCATAATTTTATCATAGAAATTCACACATAATTATTAAATAACCAAATTTTTATATATGAATAAACCTCACATAGGGTATATTTTAATAACATATTCTCTGTGCATCGCACGAGACAAATACTAGTCTAAAAACATAATAAATCTCAATCAAAGTTATATCCATCATTTATGTCCATATTTTTAATGCTATTCATTTTGTACATTGTGCTTTTAGAGTGGTACTATATAATTTTTTGGACAAAGATACCCCTACCGTTATAACTTCCGTTATCTTTTCCATTATTGTTACCATGCACATGCATCTACCATATATTTTCTTATATTCTTTAATGATAATAATATTTGTATACATTATATAATGGATTATTATAATAAATAAATTTGATTTCATATAGATTTTAATTTGTAGGGATTTGTTAGTTAATTATTTAAAAAATATATAAAGATTGGGCATATGTTTTTGCGCATCGCACATAGAAAAGACTAGTATAACAATAATAGACAAAGAGTTACAGTCGCAAAGCCACAACAAGTGTGCAAGTAGCGACGCCAATAGGCGCCCTGAACCTCAATCGAATTTTAAAAAAATAAAAATAAAAACTAAGATAAGAAATCAACATCAATCATCGGTCAATCAAATATATCACTACATGACATCTACTATTGCTACTATATATTATGCAAGGATGAGTTTGCTACTCTACTGTGAGGGAAATAGGGAGAGACGAAAAAGTGTAAAAATTAAAAATTAAGAATTTATGTTCTAGAATTTGATATATACTGAGTATAATTAGTTTTATTTTGTAAATATTAAAAAAAAGTGATATATATATTTTTTGAATGCTACCTACTGAAACACAAGGAGCTAATAACGCCTCCACTGAGGCTCGAACTCATAACCTTCCAAATGGAAGTCCAACCCGGGTACCATTGGACCATATATATATATGCCAGTCTGTAGGCCTATAGGCTAGGGATTAAACATATAGGTCAGACCTATTTACTAAATAAGCTAGGCTAAATTAAGTTAAGTTGTAAGCTCCTTGATAAGGGTCTAACCTAATTCCAATCTTAAACACGGATCTATGATAAAATGTGGAGTTTTTTCCACTTTTGGTCCCTTGACTTTACTTGTGCTGACAAATGTGATTCATGACTTTTATTTCAGACAAAATTAGTGTCCAACTTCAATTTCTTTTCCACATTTGGTCCCATCCGACCAAGAATCCGGTCAACCCACCGGAAATTTACACATCTCTTGTTTTTCTAAGGGTAAATTAGTATTTTCTTGCCATGTAAAATAATAAAAACTAAGAGATATTTAACTGCTTCATTGTTGTCTTTGCTCGGCGGCCTCTAAGCTTTGAACTTTTTGCAGAACGTCGTGTGGCTGTTCAGAGCCTCTTCACTGCCAATATGCCGCTCCGACCTCGCGCACAACCCGCATATCCACCGCCCTTGGTTTCGCTCTCGGACAATATCACTTCTCCGTGCACTCTTCCGTCAATCCGCAGCACTCGCATTTCGCGAACAACATCACTTCGTCCATCTTCGCCGTCGTCGTTGTCGCCGCCGCTCCGTTTCCCTGCGTTGTCGCCTCCTTCCTCATCATCATCGTCTTCACAACCATTCTCAGTGAATTCCAAATCCAAACCGCTCTTCCGAAATTTACGCACTGCATAACAGCACAAAGTATTCAAAAATCAAACACAAAATTAGAATCCTGTGATTCGTGGAATTCACCAAGAATGGCTGCGAAGACGATGATGATGAGGAAGGAGGCGGCAGCGCAGGGAAACGGAGCGGCGGCGACAGCGACGGCGGGGAATATTTGTAGTAATTACATTAAAAATAATTTTTGTTACTGTAGTCTATTTACATAAATGAAAATGTTTTATTTCATGGAGCAGTGAGAATTTTAAATCTAAAACGAGTTCATCTCAAGCGTGTAACTCCTTTTCAACTTCACCAATTTGTTTGCATCTTCCGCAAATAGCCGCCTTGTTCCATCTACTTCTAGTTCTAGTTATTGTTCCGCCTTCCTCACCAGTTGAGTAACTTGGGCACTGTCCTCCTGCTCCGCCAGATGTATAATGGCTGCAAAGACGATGATGATGAGGAAGGAGGCGGCAACTCAGGGAAACGGAGCGGCGACGACAGCGACGGCGGCGAAGATGAACGAAGTGATGTTGTTCGCGAAATGCGAGTGCTGCGGACTAACGGAAGAGTGCACGGAGAAGTGATATTGTCCCAGAGCGAAACCAAGGGCGGTGGATATGCAGGTTGTGCGCGAGGTCGGAGCGGCATATTGGCAGTGAAGAGGCTCTGAACAGCCACACGACGTTCTGCAAAAAGTTCAAAGCTCAGAGGCCGCCGCCGAGCAAAGACAACAATGAAGCAATTAAATATCTCTTAATTTTTATTATTTTACATGGCAAGAAAAGACTAATTTACCCTTAAAAAACAAGAGATGTGTAAATTTCCGGTGGGTTGGCCGGATTCTTGGTCGGATGGGACTAAATGTGGAAAAGAAATTGAAATTAGGCATTAATTTTGTCTGAAATAAAAGTCATGAATCACATTTGTCAGTACAAGTAAAGTCAAGGGACCAAAAGTGGAAAAAACTCTAAAATGTGTGAAATAAAATAAGTTGACAAATTAGTGGGGTTGCAATGAGATAATTCAACAAAGGAGAAAATTTATGAAAATGTCTCATATTTTAATTTTCTTGAGCTAATACGGTAGATACCAGCTTGATAGGCAATAACTATGATAATAAAATCATCCTCAATGGACCTTGGCCCAGGAACTAATCCAAGCTAATGTTACAGAAGAAAAATGCATCTTACCTATATGCATGATTAAAGTTGACTTGAGAAATGGCTATGATATTTTTGATTGGACCTTTTTGCGTGAGGTGTTGGAATGACTTGGCTTTCCACCAACTTTCACCAAATGGACCATTGAATGTGTGTCAACACCTTCTCAACCTCTATTAGACTATAATCATTTCACAAATTTCTTGCACTTTTTAAAATGACTTTCACTTTCACATCATCAAATTTATAATATTTATTCTACATCCCTGCAATATTCTCTCACTTTCTAAAATGTCTCATTTTATATTATATTATAAATTTAATAATTAAATAATAATAAAATATTAAAAAAAAAAAACGACATCCTTTGTTAGCAAAAGTTGACGCCTTGCAACTTTGAAACAATTAGCAAGCGCTTTCTAAGAGCATCCACACTTGTGGTTTATTTGGAGTTATTTCAGAATTAATTCTCCCCACCCAAGATAATAGCTGATGTGGGTGTAGGTTATTTGAGAAATAATATTACTGCAAATGTGGGGTGAATGTCAAAAAAAAAAAAAAAAAAAAAAAAAAAAACAACACAGGCTGTGCGCGAACGCAACACACTGCACGCGCCAGTGTGACAGCGCGCATAACGCGTCCTTTATTTATTTATTTTTTATTTTTTAAAAAAATTAGTTTTATTTTTTTTTCTTTCTTTTTTCTCTCCCCTCCCATCTTCTCTTTCTTAATCACTCTTACATTATCCCTCAATTCTCCCCAACCATTGTGGATGCTCTAACTTTGAAACCGCATCAGCATAAAAAAAAATGTATTCTCTCTCATGCCATGTCACTTAGAAAGTATTTCGTAGTAAAATTTTTGGAATGATGTTAGCCTTAATGGCTTTCTTCATGGTCACTTCAAGGGTAAGTGTGGTCTTAGCTAGGTAGTGGGACCCCTTATCCCCCTTATTTTTACTCTGTCCATCTGCTTTCTACTCCATCTGTCCCATTTTACTTGTCTTATTTTCCTTTTTAGTTTGTCCCAAAATGTTGTCCTCTTTATAAAATTAAGGTAAAAGGGTCAAATAGACCCTTTAACTTTTGATGAAAAA